AAAAAAAAAAGAAGAAAAGAAAGTGTCAAGATTAAACTAACAGTTTAAGTAATAGGACTGGAGGCAGAAGATAAAGACCCTTTCTTAGGTATACACAATGTAAAAAGGATGATTGCTATGGTTTGCATATACATCCCCTCTCCATTTATGTCTTAACATTTGGGGAGGGGCCAGCAGATGGCATGGTGGTTAAGGGCACTGGATTCCCACATGGCCAACCTTGGTTCGAATCCCAGAACGGGTGGCTTGCTTTCTCGTCTTTTCTTTTTCTTGCTCACTCTGCCCTCTCTGGTCGAATTAATAAATAAAGCTAAGATTTTTTTTTTTTTTTTTTTAATTTTGGGAGCCACTGTAATAGGATTAAGAAAGTAAAAGCTTTATTTTGTTATGGTATTGAAAAGTGGGTCCTTTGGTAAGTGATTAAGCATCAGGAGGGGGCCTCCTTGATTGAGCTGGGTTTTTATGGAGAGAGAGTCAGAGACCCGTGGATACACACTGCTCTGTGCTCACTTTGACGTTTGATAATGTGATGTGCTGAAGCGCCACGATGAGCACAGCCCCTGGACCTGGTTCTATAAGCTGGATAAATTTCTACTTTCTTAAATTACCCAGATCAGGTACTTTCTATCATTAGCAAATGAACACGATGGAACAATGTCAGCCTCCCATGTGTAACAACCTCACACAGAAAGCTATATTTTGGAGAGTATCTCATAGAAACCACAAAGGACTATGAACTACTTCAACTCCCATTTAAAAACTAACCTTTCTGTTCACTCTATTGAAAACAACCAAACATACCTTCCACTCAGTAGAATATCTCATCACAATTGCTCGGCACTGATTGTTATACTCTGCAATCCCCATTTTGGCCACATCTTCTGGTCCTTTGATTCCTAGTGTCTTATCGATTTCATATTCCTAAAAATTTATAAGATTTTAACATTTCTATCATATAGAACAATTGCAACTAAATAAATGTAAGAAATGAAACAGGTTTAAAAGAATGAGTTCTCAGAAAATCTACAAAGATGAACTATAAATAGCCTTACAGAAATAAAGTAGAAGAAAGTCTGACATATAGTGAAAATTCATCAGACTCTAATATATTATATGATGAAATCTAATGCTTATTAAAAAATCAGAACATCGGGGCCGGCAGGTGGCCTGGTGGTTAAGGCCACTGGACTCCAACATGGTGGTTAGTGATTTGAATCCAAGACCCAGCACTTTGCTTTCTCATTTTCCCTCTCTCTCATTCTGTCCCTCTCTGGTCAAATTAAAAATAAGTAAAGAAATAAATAAAAGTTTAATCATTCTTAAAAAGAAAAATCAGAACATTACAAGGTTGGAGACTCAAACATACCACAGGTAAACCATGACAATCCCATCCAAATCTTCTGTCAACATGAAAGCCACTCTGGTGAGCATATCTTGTCACGATATCTTTAATTGTCCCTGCCAGTATATGTCCATAGTGAGGCAGTCCAGTAGCAAAAGGAGGCCCATCGTAGAAGGTAAATCTAACAGAATTAATAAAAATACATTTAGTCACTCTAACACAGCAACAATTGAGGACAAGTTTTCTCAATAGATAGCTCCTGTCACAATAGAAACTGTAGGAAGAACAAAAGCAACGAGATCAGCAAATTCAGACAGAACTGAGTAGACATGTACTGGAGATCCCGTCTTCAGAAAAGCCAGTTATGGCTGAGCTGAAGAGACCTCCATTCAGTTACACATCCTTCACTATGGCCCACGACTTAAGGCACATTATTCATCTGATTCCCAGCCATCTCTTCAGTAAAAGAGGGCAATAAAGGCCTATCTCAAAGTTTCTGAGCACAGAAGACACCATGGGAACTGAGGAAAGTGGTCTTTCAGGTGACTGGAGAGTAGGGGCAGGAAGTACTGGGGGAGCCTCTACTAGGTACTTAGGCGGAAGTACCTGAATGAGGGAAGCAGTGATGGTAAGGGTGGAAGGAAGGTGGTGATAGACCACTCAGATGACCTTTTAAAGAAACAGGCCCTCATAACTCATTAATTCACCAGCAGGTGGCATGGTAGTTAAGGCACTAGACTCCTACATGGCCAACACTGCTTCGAGTCCTGGACCTGGCAGGTTGCTCTCTCACTTTTCCTCTCTTTCTCTCTGTTTCTCTAGTGAATACATGTGCTGAATAGAAAAACTAAAAATTAAAAGAACTCATTAATGCATTGTACGTCTACCTACTATACAGAGAGCTGGGAGGGACCAGCAGTTGGCATAATGACTATGTCGCTGAACTCCCATGTAGTCGACGGCAGTTCAAGTCCTGGACCCAGTAGCTTAAACTCATGCCGGGTGTGTATGTGTGCCCAAGATCCCGAGAGGAGAATGGATGAGAAGGGACTGCAGCGTGGCCATCCCCCCAGGGGGTGATTTCTTGCTTTCTCTCTCTCTGTCTCTCTCTCTCTCTTTCTGGCAAGCACATGCACTCTATAGCAAAAACCTCCCCAAAAGAAAAGAGAGAGTCAGGAATATAGAGACGAATAAGGAGTCTCAGTCTGAGAAAAGGCTATTCTTAGGGACTCAACCTTTACCACAGAATTCACATACTTTGGCCGATGTTTTGATTGCTTTAAGCATTCCTGAAAACAATTAAATTTGGACCAAAACTGCAAGATTTTCTCTTCTTCATCAGGAAAATTGATGGTTTCTGGCAGGAAAATTGATGGTTTCTGGAACTTGTTGGACCATTTTGTTGCTGCAGGAGAAATCAAATTTATTGTCAGAAAGAAATCTAGAAATAACAGAATATGGTATTATTAAAATGGGTGGTATATCACAATCCAAGATACTATACAACATATTAAAATTACAGCTTTATTGATATAAAATTCACCATATAACACGTTGTTTTTTTTTTTTTAAATAAAGAAGTTATTGCCATAGGGTACATGCACTTGCCAGAGTGAGACAGAGAAAGTAAGAGGGAAACTGAGAAATCACCCCCAGGAGGGATGGCCATGCCCCAATCCTTCTCCTCCATTCTCCTCCCAGGATCTTGGACATGCACACACATGTGCCTGACATGGTTTTCAAGTCATCAGGTCCAGGACCTCAACCACAATCAGCCACGTGGGAGTCCAGTGATATAACCACTAAGGTATCAACTGGCCCCAAGTGCACCCTTTTTAAAGTATACAATTCAATGGTGTTTTAGTATACCCACAAAGTTGTGCAACCATCCTCACTACCTAACTTTAGAATATTTTTCAGTTCCTCCCTCTGTCCCTGAAAACACATAACCAGTAGCAGTCACCACCCCATTCTTTCTTCTCCCAGCACCTGGAAACCATTCATTTGCTTTCTGCCTCTAAATTTACCTATTTGGGATATTTCGGATATAAAGAAAAATTTATGTGAATCAACATACATACGCTTATTGTGCCTGGTTTTATTTCCTTAGATTATTGTTTTCAAGGTCCATTCATATTGTTAACGTACTCATATCTCAGTTTTTATAACTACATAGTACTCCATTATATGGATAGGCCATATCTTATTTGTTCTTCCATCAGTTCCTGGACACCTGAATTATTTCTACTTTTTGACTACTATGAACAAACAGTGCTGTTATGAGCATTTGTAAATAAGTTTTCATTTCTCTTGGGTAACTACCTAGGAGTAAAATTTCTAAGTTACCTAGTAACTCTATAGTTTTTTCTTTTAAACTGCCACAAAATATTTTCCAAAATGATTACACCATTCTGTATGCTCCCAGCAATGAATGAAAATTTCAGTTTTCCATATCTTTCCCAGTATTTTTGTATTTTCCTTATTGTCCATCTATAGACATCTTAGAGGGTGTGAAGCAGTTTCTTTGTGGTTTTGATTCAAATTTTCCGAAGACTCTTTCCATGTGCTTAATGGCTATCTGTATATCTTCTTTGGATAAATGGTTATTCATCCTTTGCCATTTTTTAATTGAGTTGTCTTTTTTATTAAGAGAGATTTTTGACATAGGGCATGTATACTCACTGTAAACACAGAGAGAGACAGAGAAAATGACAAACTACCCATGCTCCAGGGAGAACGGTCATGCTACAACCCCTTCATCCTCCTTTCAGGATCTTGGGCACATACACACACACGCCCAGCTGAGTTTCAAGACGCGGGGTCCAAGACTCGAACCACAGTTGACCATATGGGAGTCCAGTGCTTTAACCACTATGCCACCTACTGGCCCTGTTTTTTTTTTATTATTATTTAAATTTCTGCTATAGGGCCCATGTGCTCATGGCTGAAGTGGGGGAGGAGCAGGAACAGGAGTGAGTAATCATCCCCCAGGGGGGATGGCCACTTTGCAATCCCTTCTCTAATTTCTTCTCAGGATTTTGGGCATGCATATGTGCCCAGTGTGATTTTTCAAGCCACCAGGTCCAGAACTAGAACCATGTAGTTGGCCATGTGGAATCCAGCTGCCTTAATCACCACGCTACCTGCTGCTCCTGGGTTGTCTTTTTATGGTTGAGTTTTAAAAGTTCTTTACAGGACCAGCAATTGGCATAATGGCTATGTCGCCGGACTCCCATGTAGTCGATCATGGTTTGAGTCCCAGACCTGGTGGCTTAAACTCACACTGGACATGTGTACACATGTGCCCAAGATCCCACGAGGAGACTGGAGGAGAAGGGATTTCGGCGTGGCCATCCCCTCTGGGGATTTCTTGCTTTCTATCTGTCTGTCTTTCTGGCAAGCGCACGTGTCCTATAGCAAAAACCTCTCACAAAAAAATAATAATAATAAGAGGGGGATGAAGAGAAGAGGATAGAGAAAGATAGCAAGAGAACAAATAGAGAGGCAGGACATTGATGACATGTATAGTACTCTGAACTAGATTGGTCTGAGGAGTATTTTCGTGATGGGTAAAGTCTTTTTACAAGCAAAATGAGAAATAGTGATAGACTGTTTAAAAATAATAATTAGAGGGACCAGCAGTTAGCGTAATGGCTATGTCGCTGGACTCCCATGTAGTCGACCGCGGTTCGCACATTGGGTGCATATGCGTGCCCAAAGTTCCAAGAAGAGAATGAAGGAGAAGGGATTGTCGTGTGGCCATCCCCCAGGGGGATGATTTCTCGCTTTTTATCTCTCTGTCTCCCTCTGTCTGTCTGGCAAGCGCACACCCCCTATAGCAAAAAAAAAAAAAAAAAAATTAGAATAATAATAATGATTGGGAAAAACACTGAAAAGATATTGAATGACAAAGTAGGGAGATTAATGTCTCTGTATTGACTGACATGCATGGTATTCCCTTTTGAAAAAGCAATGTAATACATTGTAAAGTTATATGTAATCCAATGTAATATAAAGATTATGATGTTAATAAAAATTTTAAAAAATGAAAAAAAAAAGCTTACAAATAATAGGGTAGAATAGTGTTTATAAAATAAATATATCAAAGCAATAAACATATGAATTAAGAAAAAAAAATGTAATAATATTAAGTTCTTTATATATCCTGGATAAAAATCTTTTATCTGATAAATGATTTATAAAAATCGCCTTCTATTCTGTGATGTCTTTTTTATTATTTTGATGGCCTTCTCTTAAGTATAAACATTTTTAATTTTAAGGCAGTGTTCATTTATTTTTTTCTTTTGTTTTGCTACTTAAGCTTTTAGTGTTATATCTAATAAACTATTACCTAAACAAGGTTGCAAATTAAAAAAAAAAAAAAAACTGCTATAGAGTGCTTGCTGGAGAGAAACAGAAAACACTGAGAGGGAAAGTAAGAAAGCACACCCTGATGGGGAAGGCCACACCACAATCCTTTCTCCTCTTCCTGATGGGGATGGCCACACCACAATCCTTTCTCCTCTATTCTCCTCTCAGGATTCTGAGCACACACATACAACTAGAGTACTTTCAAGCTGTCAAGTCAAGGACTTGAACCAGAGTTGGCCACGTGGGATTCAGTCACTCCAACCTCTACACCACTGGCTAGCCCCAAGTTGCAAATTTTGAGTTTACATTTAGGGCACTGACCCATTCTGAGTTATTTTTATATATGGTATGAGATAGGGGTACACAGTACTTCTTAAATTATGTAAAACTGAAGCATTATTTCTATCAGCAAATCACATTCTCCCCTATTACTTTTATTTTACAGTAAAATATTCAGCAATATTGGACAAAAAGTTTCTAAAAGTAAACAAGAAAATCTTAGAGATCCTGATGGTGCTAAAAACTATAATAATACAGTAATTTTTCTGAGAGAGAGAGATTTGCTATAGGGGGCATGCACTTGCCAGAGACAGAAAGTGAGAAATCATCCCTGGGGGATGACCACACCACATTCCCTTCTTCATTCTCCTCTCAGGATCTTGGGCATGCACACACAAGTGCCTGGTGTTGAGTTTCAAGTCCCTGGGTCCGGGACTCAAATCATGGTTGACTATGTGGGAATCCTGTGACACAACCATTACAATCATCTGCTGGCCCCAATAATAATTTTAAAAAAGAAATCCAAGAGTAGCTAAAAATGTTCTTACCTACTCTCACATGGCAGAAAGTACTTTTCTTGAAATAATTTCATCTTCTTTTTGAGGAAAATAGCTTAGAACTTTTAAAAATTTTAAAGCTAAAAAAAAATCCTACATTTGAAAAGTTTATTCGAATTTTCCATTTTTTACCCTTCTATTGCTTTTTCATAGTTTTTATAAAGTAAAAATCCTGTACCTCTCTGACTTAGTCCTTCTTGAGAGAAATCTTAAAGTGTCTAAGTTATGCTAATAATCTCTTATAGAGACAATACCAATCTGTGACCTATCTATATCCTCAAGTCTCTTCTCCTTCAAAGCCTATTTATTCTTACTTAAAACTTGAATAAGGTTGGTGACCACATTTCCAAGCCATTACCAGAAGTGGTGATGGGACTGCTAATAATTAGAGTACAACAGATAAGATAAAGGCCTTGAGCACTCAAGAACAACAGTTTGGGATACCTGACTATAAGAGAAAAGACACCTACATACCTTGGCCAGTTCTCAAAACACTGAAAGCATCATAAACTAAGTGCAGTGACTGACTCAACTTCTTAAAAACAAAAAAACTTGGAACCAGCAGTTAGCGTAATGGCTATGTCGCTGGACTCCCACATAGTCGACCACAGTTCACGTCCCGGACCCGGTGGCTTAAAACTCACGCCAGGCGCGTGTGCGTGCGTGCCCAAGATCCCGAGAGGAGAATGGAGGAGAAGGGATTGCGGCGTGACCATTCCCCTTGGGGAGTGATTTCTCGCTTTCTGTCTCTGTCTCTCTGTCTGCCTGGTGAGCACACGCACTCTATAGTGAAAAACCTCTCCAAAACAAAAACAAAAACAACTTTGTCACAAATACTGCTTTTGCTTTAAAAAAAAAAAGCACTACATTAAATTTTAAATTTTCAGATGTGAGAATGCTTTTGATTTAGGGGGAAAAAAGACAAAAAGAGGTAGGCCATTTAACTAACTGAAATAGTCAGTTCCAATAAAAGTACACCATTAAGTGGTTTAAATGGAAATTGTAAGGCATTTTAGACTTTCAACTCTTATTACAACCTCCAGCCTTTAAAAGAAAGTTAGCTTGTTCATTTATTGATTTATTATATATGAAGTTCAGTGGCTACCTTATCATAGGCCAACTGAAATTTACGGGATTATGAGATTGTATTTGAATACCAACAGACCTTTAGAGAGCAACACGTTCATTTCCAGTCTGTTAATATTTAAGACCAATCCTAGTGTGGCCCGTGTTTATGGGAGCTTATTAGATATGTAAATATGCCAGTCTCTCCTTGGACCAAAGATTCCGTACCAGCATTTTGGCAGATCTCTGGGGATTAGCAAGTGCACCTAGATTTGAACATCACCACTACTACACCAATCTGACAGTTATTCAGGGATACCTAATTGAGTCTTTTTTTTTTTTTTTTTTTGAATATTAGTTGGAGCAGAGCCCTTGAATTGATAAACATGCAAGGGTTTGGTTGCCAGTCACATGTGTACATTAAGAGAAGAGTATCAGGGGCCAGCAGGTAGCATGGTGGTTAAAACACTGGACTCCTGTATACCTTACCACGGTTCAAGTCCCAGACCTAGTGGTTTATTTTCTCTCTCTTTGGTGAGCACATATGCCCTGTAGCAAAATTTAAAATAATAGTAATACTGGGACCAAGAGTTGGTGCAATGGCTATGTCGCTGGACTCCCATGTGGTCAAACGTGGTTCAAGTCCCAGACCTGGTAGCTTAAACTCAGGCTGGGCATGTGTGCGTGCGTGCCCAAGATCCCAAGAGGAGAATGAAGGAGAAGGGATTGCGGCGTGGTCATCTCCCCTCGGGGGGTGATTTCTTGCTTTCTATCTTTCTGGTGAGTGCACGCACCCTGTAGCAAAAAACTCTCAAATGAAAACAAAAAAAAGAATAATACTACTAAATACAAAACTAAATAATTCTTTATAAAAAAGAGAAGAGTATTACAGGTTTTCCTTCTAGTCCTTCCACTCCTTGTCTCTGATTTCTGTGTCAGATATATCTGGAACATGATCTTAGTCTGTCCCTTATTTTTCTTAAATTTGAGATAAAGTCAGAATGCCTGACTATTAGTATGCTCTTATAAGCATACGAAGCTTACCTCTACAGTCTCTCAGAAGTGCACATATCACACTTAGATGGCACTCCATTAATTCCTCTGCACATGAGGGTGGCTAGAAGTTGGCCCTAGAATAGTGCATGTGAGTTAGGGACTTTTGCACAGGGAGGGCTCTCCTGATTCTTTTTTTTCTTTTCTCCCTTTTATTCAGCATTCATTGACTTCACTTAATCCAGTAAAAAACTACAGATGTTCTTTTTTTTTTTTTTTTGAGAAGATTTAAGCTTTCTGAGAAGAGGGTTCATAACTTTTACTGGATTTTCTAGGAAGTCTCTATTTCCCTCAAAAGATTAAGAATCGGTGCACTATTATGCCAAACACAAAAGCCTAGTATACACAAAGTGCAACAGCACTGACTATGCCAGGAAGAACCATGTACCAGTGACCGGGCTATGGTGGCTGCTGAGAAGAAACAGCCCCCATGCATAAATCACAGGATTGCTGTTGCCCATAGTATCCACCGGAGAGCTGTACTTGCACAACAGCACCCAGCAACCACAGGGCAAGGAACGGTGGGTGAACCTTGCCAAGCTGTGCACTGCAATGTCATCTTTTACCCTCTTACTATAATCCAAGCCTTCCACTCTTCCCTGTTCTACAACTCCTTCAGGTCACCTAAGTCTTTAATTCCTGTCCAGCAAATTGTAGACTACTCTCCCTAACCTTGAGTTTATCTCAATGTGCCTTGGAAAAGCATAATGAAACCATATTTTGTTTGAAATCTCATGGATCTTCCTTGTCACACCGCTTCTCCTTTTAATTCTATTGCATGACTCGTATTCTTCCCATTACCTAGGCCGGACAATTCTGAGTCACCCTATTGGCCAGATGATCCCCACATTCAATTAATCAGCAGGTTACGGGGATCTTACATCTCATGCTAGCTCTGCTTCTCCTTTTTCATCCCCAGAACTTCATAACATGTTACATTAAGTCAAATTTAAAACCAGGGTGGCTCCTTCTTAAGTCTTGTCTTAATTTAAGCATATACATACCAAGACATACCCAAATGTGCAAAGTAGGCAAACAAAGATATTCACTGAAGCATTGCTTCCATAGCCAAATGACTGAAAACAACTTAAATATCCATTACAATTAAATTATGGTACAATAAAATTTCATGCAGTCATTAAAAATAGCCAACTGAAGGGACTGCAGCGTGGCCATCCCTCTGGGGGGGGGTGATTTCTCGCTTTCTGTCTCTCTGTCTCTCTCTCTGTCTGGCAAGCGCACGTACCCTACGGCAAAAACCTCTCCAAAAAAAAACCAACTGATGGGCCAGAAAGTGGAGTGACAGTTAGTGACAGTTAAAGGTGCAAAACTCCCATAAGGTTAACACGGTTAATATGGTTCCAGTCTCAGACCTGGTGGCTTAAAAATCAGCTGGGCCCCTATGCGTACCCATAATACCAAAAGGAGAATGGAGGGAAGAGGATTGCAGCAAGCCCCCCCACACCCCACCCCCACCCCTTGGGGAGGAGGGGGGGGTTATTTCTCACTATTCCTCTCTGTCTTTGGCGAGGGCACCCATCCTGTGGCAAAACCAGAAAAAGAAAAACAAATGAAAAAACCATAGTACATGTTAAATATAAAAATTACCTACACATATTAGGAAAAGCACAAGTCACTGTTGTACCAATTAATATTAAGTGTAGTGTATCATTTTCAAAAGGGTTGTTACTCATTTCAAACATCTCATCCAAAAAAAGCAAACATAAATTCATGAGGCTGGACGCCCACCAGTTCCTCACACACACACCCTGCAGCAGCAGTAGTGACAGCAGCTCCCCGTTTGCGAACCAACACAAGTACTTTCAAATCCTGCAGCACTGTGAGTAAGGTCCCCTGGTTTCTCCCTCCCTCCAACAGGCCTAGCCAACACATTGCCTGACCAGCCTTCTTCCTCCTCCGTGCTCCCAGCAAGGCGTGCACTCGTCTCCTGCTGCATGACCAAACTGAGTGTGAGCCAAGGGCCAAGCGGCCGCTCCTACCCCTTCTGACACCAGGTCCCCAGCGATAAATGCACGTCCACTGGAACCAGTGACAGGAAGGGACAGTCCATGGTTCAGACTCACTGCTTAATTTGTTTTCAGAAATTCTAGACTTAGCAGTGATGTCGTCAGGCACCCAGTGCTTTTCACCTTGAATTCCCAAAACCACCCCCGCGCTCCAAGGCCCACCGGGTTCCCGGTCCCCGTGCAGCTGGAGAACTTCTGAGAACTGTAACCCTCGGCTGGATTCACTCTGAATGCTGCAGCGACCCCGCAGACGCCTCCCAGTCTTGCTCTGGAGAAACAGACACACAAGCCACCACCATCGCAGGCACGCCTCCACTCCTCCTGGCCCCTCAAACCATTTTTTAAAAAGCTCGCGTCCTACTCTCGGTGTCGGGGACGCGCGGGGCACCTGACCGCGGACAGAACCCAGCGTACCTGAGGGAGCCCGCGGGCAGGCCCAGCGCACCTGCAAGATCACGGAGCTGAAGAGCCCGGCGCACTGCGCAGCCCACCGGCCGGCAGCGAGGACGAAGGCGGCGTGCACGCCGCGGCGCGGAGGCCAAGGTGACGCAACGCCCTGACAGCGCTCCGAGAAGGGGACTGCGCCGGCGCGTCCATCCCGAGTCCGGCGCCGATTGGCTGCGCGGGCCCACGGCTACGCCCACCCCGACCTGGAAAGCGCGGTGAATGCTGGGAAAGCGGCGCTGGTCCTGGCCAGGCCAGAAGCGCATGCGCGGCGTGGTCCCACGCCGGCATCCAGAGTGCCAGAGACCGCTGCATGGGTGCTTGATCGCGCCTTTTCCTTGTTTCCTCTCCTTGCCCTTCAGATAGGTGCGTCCCTCCAGAGGTCCCTGACTGACATATGGGGCAATGGCTTCAAAAGTTATGGAGGGAGGAGCAGGTGGCGTAATAGCTACGTCGCTGGGCTCCCGCGAAGGGACCCCTTGGCTTAAACTCACGCTGGGCGGGTGTGTGTGCCAGCCCGAGATCCCGAGAGGAGATCCCCCCACCCCCCAGTGATTTCTCGCTGTTTCTTTCTGGCAAGCGCACTCACCCAATAATAAAAACCTCTCCAAAAAAAAATAAGTTATGCCTGGGAGCCTGGACCAGTGGATCCCAAGGCCTTTTTTCTATGTAAATAGCCACGTGGAGCGATGGGACAAACAGGAGGGCCTGGAGGCCAGCTTTAATACCCTGTTGGCCTGCCCCTTTTCTGGTATTAAAATAGAAATTGGTGTATTTATTGTTATGTGGCTGAGGCACCGTCCAGACGTGCTGGTGATTTCGGAGCCATGCAAAGGACAGGCCCCCATCTTTGCCACCAAGCCCAAAAGGCGGGACTTCATCTTACGCAGAGTGCAGGGTTCTGTAGGAAGTCTAGTTTACTTACTAGCAGCAGCAAACAACTGACCTGACTTAGAATATGTAGAAAGTACTTCCTCAGTAAGTTTAAGAACATTGGCTAGTCCGTTCAGCAGTTCCTTACAGTCAGTCTAGGCCCTTTCAAGAGTAAGTTGTTTCATCAACAGGGTAGCTCAGTGTTGCAGTGACTACTCATTTGAACATATGCAAGTACAGTTAACTGGAAGCATTTGGAGTGTGCTCTAGTTTTTGTACTCAATTTGCCACCTTGTTCAATTCATTTCTATCACCTGTTCAGAAAACTATCTTAGAATGAGGCAGAGGGCTCCTGGACAGATGTGGCTAAGACAAAAAGGTACAGGTGAGGTAGACTGAGTCTGATGATTTAAAATTTGGACTTAAAAAATATTTTAGAGTATTAGTGAGTTATTGGAAGACTAGTCTAGAAAAGTTAGGCAAGAGGGGAAAAAAGAATTCCAGGAAAAACAGGTAACTATCATACTGCTGGGATTAGAGTTCAAACATCAATTTTTTTTTTTTTTTGGCAAGTTTTTTGCTATAGGGTGCGTGTGCTCACCAGAAAGATAGAAAGCAAGAAATCACCCCATGGGGGATGGACATGCTGCAATCCCTTCTCCTCCATTCTCCTCTTGGGATCTTGGGCATGCACGCACACTTGCCCAGCGTGAGTTTAAACCACCAGATTCGGGACTCGAACCGCGGTTAACTACATGGGAGTCCAGTGACATAGCCATTGTGCCATCTGCTGGTCCCATCAATTTTCAAAGTAGGAAATCAAATTACTGTCTAAAGCCAAGAAGTCAGAGTATAAGCATGTTAGGGAGAAGTATGGAGAAAACTATCAGAAGAAACAAAGTTATTCAAGGTAGTTTTATTTGGGGAGTAGGAAATGTGGTGCATAAGACTACTTGAGAAGTCACTTCCGTGCCTGGTTTTGAGATGGAGTGACAAATTTAAATATGGTCATAAGTGCTGATACTCTCCCCATCAAGAGGTGAGGATCTGTGTCCTTCCCTTTGATTCTTGGTAAGCTGTCCATTTTGACCTGAAGAACTCTGGAAGTGACTGAGCCGATTTCTAGGACAAGGCCTTATCTTTTTCTAGCCCCTGAGAACACTTGGACCTAGAACCTAGTTGCCTTATAGGAAAGCCCATGGACAGCACAGAGCAGGGAGCCATCTCCAAAGTAGACCTTCTAGCCCAGGACCTCCGCACCCCTGAGGTTACCACATAGGACAGAGATGTGCAGTCCCCACTAAGTCCTGACCAGATTCTGTATTTGGGAGCAAAACAAATAACTTCACTGGGAAAATGTGCTATGCCACAAATGGACTATCTAACTTATTTACGCCACTGAATGGCTGTGCCCATTCACCATGAAGTCTGAAGTCAGATACCTAAATTGTGGGTCCACGGACCTGCCGCCAACATGATTTTCCATGTTGCTAGCGGCCAAAGACAGGAAGACTGCATCTGACTTGTTCCTGGTCCTCAAACAACTCTCACATGATGCTGGTCAGGAACGTCCTACATTTCAGTTAGCTACTAGTCATGATGCAAATACAGAACCCAGACATGATTTGTAATTCATTATTTAAACAAAATGACAAAATGGAGGTAAGGCGTATGTGGTAAATCAGAAATAACCGTTTCAAACAGCCTATAATTCACACAAAGCCAAACAGGAAAAACGCAAATTTTACCCATTTATTAAAAAAAGATTTTGCATAAACCCTAGATCAAATGTCCATCAGTTACTGAGGATGGAGGGCAGTAATGATATACAAGAAATATTTTGAAGGACTATCTTGTGCTTCATTTTTTAAAAGTTCAGTTTAATTTTTTTAAGTAACTACTTAGGAAGAAATACAGAGGAATTCCACAGAAAAAGACAGCAACCAGAACAATACTCCACCAGCCAGATTTTGAATACCTTTCTTCTTTTTTAAAGAAAGATTTTTGCCGTAAGGCATGTGCATGTGCTGGAGAGATGGAGCAACGGAGACAGAAAAATCACCCCCTAGGGGGTGGTCACGCTGCAATCCTTTCTCCTCCGTTCTCTTCCCAGGATCCTGGGCATGCACGCACAAGCACCTGGTATGAGTTTTAATCCACTGGTTCGAGGACTCGAACTGTAGTCCACTAAGTGGGAGTCCGGTGATGTAACTATTATACAATCAGCTGGTCCTTTGAATAGTCTTTCATTCTGAAATTTCTTCTCCGTCAGCTAAAATTATATTCTGGGTCAATTTCCTCAGCTGAGCCTTGTTCCCAATTCAACACCAAAACCAGTAGCTGACATTGATTATTTTTGTTTCACTTTCCTCTTTGCATCTTTGTGTTTCTTCCGACAATCCTGGAAAGTCATAAAAACAAAAGCCTTTGTTACTAATAATTGCAAACTATTTCTAAGTATCTGTAACCATAAAATAAAACAAGCTATTACTGTCATGGTCAAGGTTATGGAAACTCATTTTGGAAGTGCTCACTTGAAATGAACAGGAACTATAAATACTTAGCTTCAATTGTTTATAAAGGGAATGACAATTCAGTCTTTTGATAATTTTTTTTTCAAGTTTTTGCCGTAGGGGCACATGTGCTTGCCAGAGAAACAGAGAGAACAGAGAAAAGGTAAGTGAGAAATCTACTTTCCCTGCCCCCCTGGGGATAGCTATGCTGCAATCTCTTCCTTTCTCCTCTTGGAATTTTGGACAGGCACACACACAAACGCACATGCACACATGCATGCATGCATGCACACACACACACCTGGCATGACTTTCAGGCGGCAGTTCCAGGATTCGGGCCACGGTCAGCCATATGGGAGTCCAGTGCCTTAACCACTATGTCACGTGCTGGACCCACAATTCAGTCTTTTAAAATCTCATGATTCCTGTCATTTAGTGAGCCTGACTGGATGCTGGGACCACATAATCCAGCCAGTCTTTAGTTTCTTCACTGCTACTATTTGTGGGCTCAATTAAGCAATCTGTAAGTTTCCCCTTGCCAGTGTATAACCGAGTTTAAATCGTGTTCTCAATTGTCATTTTTTTCCTAAATTTCCTTTTTTTTTTTTTGAGAGAGATTTTTGCTATACATGTGTATGCTCGCCAAAGAGAAACACAGGGAGACAGAAAGCAAGAAAAATCAACCTCCACAGGGGATAGCCACGCCACAATCCCTTCTCTTCCCTTCTTCACTCAGAATTTTGGGTACACACACGCGCACACCCAACCTGAGTTTTAAGCTGCTAGGTCCTGTGAACTGCAACTGACCATGTAGAATTGCGCAACATAACCATTATGTCATCTGTTAGTCCCCCTTTTCTTGGAGAGGTTTTTGCTATAGGGCGCGTACACTCGCCAGAAAGACAGAGACAGAGAGACAGAAAGCGAGAAATCACCCCGCAGGGGGAATGGCCATGCTGCAATCTCTTCTTCATTCTCCTCTCAAGATCCTGGGCACACGCGCCTGACGTGAGTTTAAGCCACTGGGTCTGGGACTCAAACCACGGTCAACTACATGAGAGTTCAGCAACATAGCCATTACGGTCTGGGCCCCTTTTGTTTTTAAATTGCACAGGCTTGACAGAGAGAGGGACATGGAGAAAGTGCCCTCCCAATGGGACATGGTCATAGAATCCCTTTTCCATCTCTATCCTAGGTTTTGGGTACTCATGTACACATGCCTGGTATGTTGTTCAAGTCTTGAGAGCAAGGACAAAACTCTGGGGTACCATGTGGGATCTGGGATTTGTATCTCTAAACCACTAGACCCTTCAAGAGGCTGGGCCTTCTAGCTAAATTTCCATACCCTATTCTTATTATTACTTTTTAGTTTTGCTATAGGACATGTACATTCATCCAAGGAGAGGGAGAGAGAAAGAGAAAGCACTGCCTAGGAGGGACAGCCACGGGCAATCCTCTCTCCTCCGTTCTCTCTCAGTAATCGGGGCATGCGCACATGAGTGCCTTGTGTGTTTTATAAGCCTCCAGGTCTGGGACTCAAACTGCACAGTTGGCCATGTGGGATCCGGCCACTCCCATGCCCCCTGGGCAGTCCTATTTTTATTATTCTTACACCAAAGAGACAGGAACACAGATTCCCACTGTTCTTTCACCAGGGAAGTAACAACATGGACGACGCTGTAGGAGATAACCGCCACGGACATGCGGCCACTCACCATGTGCAGGCTGTGTGCTCTGGCCTCCCAAGAGTTCCTGCTAATATTACTTCCCACTCCTTTCCAAAACAAGTCACAACCTACAAGGAGAAAAGTAAAAACGGTAAGGCAGACTACTAACATGTATAATAAAGTGTTGGTATTACCAAGGTCTCCAACAGGATTGCGTTGTTGGAAAAGTCATGAAAATCCAATAGTTAAGACCTTTTTTAAAAAAAGAAAAAAGTGTTGCTAGGATTTTACCGTTATATATCACTTAGCATTATTTTGTCATTTTGTTTTGGTGTTAGGCTTTAGGAAATGAGAAGTTCCGGGGCCAGCAAGTGGTGTGGTAGTTACAGCTCTGAACTCCCACTTTGTTGACCACTATTTGAGTCCTGGGTCTGGCAGCTTGAGATTCACAGCAGGCTTATGTATGTGCATGCCCAAAATCCCAAGAGGAGAATGAAGGAGAAGGGACTATGGCATGGCCATAACCCTGAGTGGGTGATTTCTCATTTTCTGTCTCTAATGAGCACATGCACCCTATAGCAAAAACTCTCTCTCTTAAAAAAAAAAAAAAAAAAAAAGGGGCCCAAAGAGGGGGGGGCCAAGAGGGGCCAGCAAGTGGTGTGGCCAACTGCAGTTCAAGTCCTGGACCTGGTGGCTTGCTTACTTTCTCACTTTCCCTCTTTCTCTGTCTCTCTCTGATCAAACTGGAAAATAACAACAATAATATTGGTAAATAAAATTAAGTAATCCTTTAAAGAAAAAGGAAGAGCCTCAGGAGTCTCAGAATTTCTACTGGATTTTTACAGTACTAAAAATGTAGAGGTTTTGTATGTCTGGCATCTAAGCAAATCCCTAGAATTAAACAAACCCTTTAGATGGTAATTACTAAGCAAGTAACATGGTGAATGGGGCTAACAGTCTCAAGGGCTTTACAAGTGAACATGCTCTAGTCTGAACACGAGTCAGCATTTCTAGATGCGAGTTATTGTACCAGAGTGTGCAATGACAGGAGCTGTCTAATGAAGATACAAACTTACCATGAAGTCTTTCATCATCTTTAGAAAAAAAGAAAAACCTAGGGGTCTCTTTCTCAGGTAATGATGATTCTCTGGAGAAACAGACACAGAGAAATAGATGTTGGTTGGTTTAATTTCAATATTTAAGAATATTATATTGAAAATATAAACTATTCTTTAGATATATCTGCTAGGTGTTTTGCTCACTTTACACTGAATTACAATGACCCTACCCAAACTCCATTCATTGTTCTTATTTACCTGAAGAGAAAGACAGGTTGAACTAACTATCTTTTCCATTCTCTGTGTTGATACGCTACTCCTCGCCACTGCTACCCTGTTTGACAGTGTCCGCCAAGGGCAGGCCTTCAGCTGCTCAGAGAGTCCTATTTCCAGACAGTGACCTCCCTGTGAGGCTTCCTTCCCTTGCACATCCCATCCCCCACCCTAAGCTATCTAAATCTCAAGGAAAGGCAACACTCATTATAAAAAGGCTGGAGAACTCTCTAAAGGAGCTTAGAAAAGAAAATTAAGTTGTCTTGTGAAGAAAAGCTTGGATACTTTACGATGCTTCTGGGACATACCTGAGCTTCCACAAATTACGAAATATATCAGCACAGAAACAAGTTGCTTACCTAGGACTTGGGGCTTGTTGATCTGTTTCTTCAGTAGTATCATCATCTTCTGAACTGCTATCTTGGAAACGAGGGTCTCCCTTCCAGATAACTTTCCCAGATTTCACTGTTCCAATCTTATAGGTTTCTGTATTATTTTTCAATAAAAGATAAGATGGGATTATAACTGAATAGCAATGTAATTTTGAAGACTCATTTGATTATTTTCACTATGCATATATATCCCTAAATTTTCAGTATATTAATTCTTTTAAAATAGGTAGTATCGGGACTAGCAGATGTCATAATGGCTATGTTGCTGGACTCCCATGTAGTCGATCACAAGTCGAGTCCTGGACCCAGTGGCTTAAACTCACACTGGGCACATTTGCGTATGTGCCCAGGATCCCGAGAGAAGGGTGGAGGAGAAGGGATTGGGGTGTGGCCATCCCCCCTGGGGGTGATTTTTCACTTTCTGTCTTTCTGGCAAGCGCACACACCCTATAGCAAAAACTTCTCAAAAAAATAAATAAATAAAAATAGTATCATTTTTTAGATTTTCAAATATTTGAGAGAAGCTACTATCATAATTTTGGCATTCCTAGAGTCATCTGATAAGAAATACTGTAACCTGGGCGAATATATGTCCCAGGCCATAATTCCAAAAGGAAGATGGAGAAGAGATTATCATGGGGCCATCCCCCCCTGGGGGGGGGGTGATTTCTCACTTTCTGTCTCTCTATGTATCTCTGGCAAGCACAAGTACCCTATAGCAAAAACTCTCTCAAAGAAAAAAAAAAAAAGAAAAAAAGAAAGAGAGTAACACTGAGATCAGTAGGTGGTCTGGTAGCTAAGGTGCTGGACTTCTACATGGCTGACCACATGTGAGTCCCAGACCTGCTTTCTTTCTCTTTCTCTTTGGTCAAATTGAAATAATAAATAAAATTAAGTAAATCTTTTTTTTTTTTTGGAGAGGTTTTCACTATAGGGCGCGTGTGCTCGCCAGACAGAGAGAGACATAGAGACAGAAAGCGAGAAATCACCCCCACCACCGGGGGGATGGGCACGCCGCCAAACCTTCTCCTCCATTCTCCTCTTGGGATCTTGGGCACGCTTGCACACATGCCCGGCATGAGTTTTTTAAGCCACTGGGTCCAGGACGCGAACTGCGGTCGACTACGTGGGAGTCCAGCAACATAGCCATTACGCTAACTGCTGGTTCCCGAATTAAGTAAATCTTAACAAATAAAATACGTAGTAACATTATAAAAAGGTATAAAAACTAAAGGTGTATGGGACCAGCAGTAAGTGTGATGGCTATGTCACTGGACTTGCAGTTGACCGCGGTTAGAGTACTGGACCTGGTGGCTTAAACTCACACTGGGCACATGTGTGTGCATGCTCAAGATCCCGAGAGGAGAATGGAGGAGAAGGGATTGCGGTGTGGCCATCCCTTTGGGGGGTGATTTCTCACTTTCTATTTGTCTGTCTGTCTTCCTGGTGAGTACACGCACCCTATAGCAAAAACCTCTAAAAAAAAAAAACTAAATTAAAGGTGTATAAATGAGCAACATCTGTGCTACTTTAAAGCTTAAAATGTAACATCAGGCAGTGATACCATGTTTCCCTCTCTAGCTTATTTATAAATGAGAACTTTCCAGGTACCAAAACCTCTTTCTAGAACTGGTAAAAAAGCTAATGCTTTAAGAGCTAAACAATTACATCATAAACCTCCACAAATTTTCCAAGTACTTAAAAACAAATCTCCCAGCCCCCAACCTACCCCTACCTAGGTTTGTGAAGACTCCCGCCATGGATGGACTGGAGGGGGTAGGGGGCAGGGGACTGGAGGCTGGTCCCAGAATGACCCAAGTACACCACATCTACTGAAACTTCACGTCCACGACTGCCAATTTGCAATATACAATGAAATGATCACCTAATAATATGGTCTGTGCTCCCGTAAGAATCCAGTACAGCCACTGGCTGACAGGGTCAGAGCCCAGGTGTGCTCCCGTAAGAACCCAGTACAGCCACTGGCTGACAGGATCTGAGTCCAGGTGACAATGCAAGCCATGGGGAGCGGCTGCAGACACAGATGCCAGCTCATTGGCTGTCTACCCCTAACTGCAGCCACCCCCAACCTGGGACCCAGCAGACCAGTACTGGTCTGTGGGCTAGGGTTTGGGGACCTCTGATATACGGCACTAGATTTCCATCTTCAGATGCATTTAAGATGCAAGGCTTTTTAAAAATATAACTTGTTATAATTCTTCAGGACTACTTTTTTTTTTTCTGGAGTGATTTTTGTTATAGGGTGTGTGCGCTTGCCAGAAAGACAGAGAAAGAGACAAAAAGTGAGTAATCACTCCCTGGGGGAATGGCCACCCTACAATCCCTTCTCCATTCTCGTCTCGGGATCTTGGGCACACACACACACGCAACCAGCGTTGAGTTTAAGCCACCGGGTCTGGGACTTGAACCACAGTCAACTACATGGGAGTCCAGTGACATAGCCATTACGCCAACTGCTGGTCCCTCTTCAGGACTACTTTACACACAGAAGTAAATGCTATACATTATTATTTAGCTTCCCTCCACATGGGAGCTAGCTAGAAGTTTGCTCCCTAAAATACAAAAATAGTTTTTCTGCAGCTTCAGGGATATCATGTTTATGGTCACACAGCACTGAATCACAAACCATCTGTCTCAGGAAAAAGGATCCTTTACTGAGGTAATATTAAATCCAACACACTTAATGCAGACCCAATCAATGAAGTTCAAACACTTGAAATGGTAACGTGGGGGAAAAGTACCTTCCTTTACATCTTTAGTATCAGAACCAAAAAAGGAGAACGTGAATGCACTGGGAGGCTCAGCCTTGGCCCTTTCTCCACCACAGCCCCCGTTCCAGGGTGTGTCTTCTTCCTTCTTGCTGGTATCTTTTGTAGTTTGGAAGATTTCCTTCAAATCCATGGTGATGTTATAATACATGTCTTTAGACACTTCAGGGAGCTTCTCAGCCTCCTCCCTTTTCTTCTTTCGTTTCGCTTTACTACAATGACATATGTAGACATGTGTACCACCGTGAAACAACTTTTGGGAAATTTCCAGAAATCAGGTAAGGAAAACACCTTGGATAACAATAATTCCATCCTTTCAACAACCACGAAGATCCATTTATAAAGCTCTACTAGTAAAAGTAGAACCCTAACCCGTAAGTGATTTTTTAACACAGAATTACCTTTCCAGAAAATTTATCTTTTAAAGTTTCTTTCTTTCTTTCCAGGAGAGAAAAAGACAGACAAACAGATGGGTGTGCCTAGCTGGGGCTTCTACAGCGTGATCTACCCACGATCTCAGCCGCCATGGATCGTGACCCTCAAAGAGGTCCTGGGATGCAAACCCAGGAGTGTCCCACATGCACGGGATCCTCTCTCTCTGACTCTGTCTTGTGAGCCACATGCCCTGTAGCAAATTTTAAAAATAAAAAGGAGAAAGAAACTGAGCTCTACTGGATAGTTCAAGTGGTCACCACTGGGCCACATGTGGCAGGCTTTACAGGACCAGGACTCTGGTACTTTTCCCATCCTCGAGGGAGGGCTGATTTAGGGATCTTTCTGTTATGAGTTCATGCGCACGCGCGCACACACACACACACACACACACACTTAACAGTATTGTCATGCCCTTTTCCCCAGCCACCTAGGTCCTCAGGATCTGGGGTATCCGCACATGTGCCTAGCAAGATTTTCAGGCTGACCCAGGGATTCGAACAGTGGTTGGCCATGTGTCTTCAGCACCGCAGTCAGTACACTATGGATGTACCACCTGCCTGGGCGAGTGACCTCTTTCAGCAAACAGAACAAAGCATGTGTGGTAGCACATGACTTGAGACTAGGGTCACAGCAAAAGAATGAAGGCCCATGAAGAAACTGTGAGCAGCTGCTACACAGACCTTAAGGAGTTACAGGGAAGGGCCTGCAGGGAAGTACAGTAAATAGCATTTTAGGAACTGGAGGAAAGGAGACCCTTGCTATGTAGTGACAGGAAGTTCGGCAGTACTGTCACCTAAACCAATGTAAGAAACAGCTGATGCACCTACTTAACTGGGTGATCTAGCTCAGGAGACGTCCAGGGAATCACTGCCAAGTATTTTCTGGTTTCTTGTAGCTGGTTAAAGTAAAATGCAAAAGCATTTTTGAGCAAAGGTCAAACCTATGGCACTCTCGGGAAAACATGGTCTAAAGCAGTGGTTAGAAAACTGAGGCCCATGGGCAAATGCAGGCCACTGATTATTTACGCCTGGAACTTCAAGTTAAGAATGCTTTCTATAGCTTAAAATGACTGCACAGAAAAGCACAAATGTTTCAGGACATGCAAAAATTATGTAAAATGCAAGTATCAGTGCCAAGCAACAGCCCTAGTGGAACACGGCCTCGTACATTTACTGTCGTCTGCGGCTGCTTTTCTGATCCAAAGGTAAACTTGAGTCACTACAGAGATGGAGTGGCTTGCAGGGCCTATATATTTACCTGTCCCTGACAGAGAAACTATAGACCCCAGTCTACAAATGAAGCTAAATTCTTTGCTAGCACCCTAGCCAGAGGTAAGAGACTTCAACTGTTCAAAAACTATAGAAGCAGTTCCAGCAGAAGCCCAAGGGAAGGAAAAAAGGCTCATCTTGAAATGGTCCATGGTGTGCCTCTAAGGCAGAGAGTCTGAAGACAACTTGCAGGGGACAACAGAGTACAAGGAATTGTACCAGAAGAAACACACCAGCTTGGACTGATAGGGCAGCAATGTTCCAAAATAAGAGGCTTTTGACTCTGAAACTTTGGCAAGTAACAAGCAGTCTGAGAAAATTAGTCACAAACGTGTGCTACCATTCATAAAAACAAAAGGATGACCCAGAAGACAGGGCTGACTGATGGTCATGGAGAATTGTTCCTAGGCCTTTAGTCCTACCTAATCGAAGAGCTTCTGACACTCACCTACCTGGATTTCAGAATTGTTTTCTTTCCACCCCTGCCCCACTGATTAATGCCTATCCTACCTGCCACAGTTCATAAGGGGCAGGGCAGGCAACCTGTCTCTGTGGTCTGCAGGTCTTCCAATCAAAAAGATTCACACTCTGTGCACTGTGATAGGTATGCCTCATCTGTACCTACACCTGATTTGGACAACATCCTAAATTCTGAAGCAATGCTGTTAAAGACAGACTTCTGAGTCCAGGGAGGGGTAGCATATTCTGCACATGCTGGGATGTCAATATCTGAGGTCAGAGGCAGACTGCGATTGTTCTAAACCATATCCACAAATTCTTGATACTTCTTTTAAGATTTGGTGCTTAACATCCTGTATCAAAGTGTGGGTTCAACCTAGAGACTTGTTTCAATAAAACAGAATAAGGTAGATTGGTTATAGTGTATTACTTCTAACACCGGGTCTTAAAATATACCACAGCTGCCTACTTCTTCCCTCTCTTAGAAAACCTGTTCTATAGAAGCCAGCTGCCATGTTATCCGGGCACTTACATAGTCTAACGGATCGATACATGAGGCAACTGAGGTGGAAAGGCACCCCCCTACACACACACACACACACACACACACACACACACACAGAGGGATGGTCACGCTGCAACCCTTTCTCCCCCATTTCTCCTTTTGGGATTTTGGGTATGCACCGACAGACACACACATACAGTGTGTTTATCTAGCCATCAGGTGTGAGACTAGAACCATAAATTTGGACATACTGGATCCAGCCACCCTAACTACCATGCTGCTGGCTGGCCCAAATGTTTGTGGTTTTAAGCCACCAAGTTTGTGATAATCTGTTACAGCTGCCACAAGAAACTAATATGATGGGGTCTTCAAAAGTTCAGGGAAATCACACGCTATAAAAAGCTATAGGAAAGAGAAATGGCTCAGAAATAAACATTTAACAGAAATAGAAATGCCAACTAAACAAGGAAAATGGGTTATGGAATGGTATACCATAACAGAGTTTAAAAAAGGGTATTGCTGGAGCCAGCAGGTGGCATGGTGGCTAAGGGCGCTGGACTCGCACATGGCTGACCACAGGTCGAGTCCCACACTGGCGGCTTGCTTTCTCAGTTTCTGTCTCTCTTTCTCTCTCTCCCCCCCCCACCCCGGTCAAATTAAAATCAAAATAAATAAATGAATAAAGATAAATAATTATTTTTTTAAAACAGGGGGTACTGCCTATCTCACATATCTCAAAACAAAATGAAAACCAACAACATAAAGCAAAACTAGTAGGACAAAATTGAAGGTGTACAACAAAATGTAATGTTCCTGTCTGAAAATGAAAAATACGGGGGACCAGCAGTTAGCGTAATGGCTATGTCGCTGGACTCCCACGTAGTCAACCACGGTTTGAGTCCCGGACCCGGTGGCTTAAACTCACGCTGGGCGCATGTGCGTGTGTGCCCAAGATCGCAAGAGGAGAATGGAGGAGAAGGGATTGTGGCGTGGCCATCCCCTTTGGGGGGTGATTTCTTATTTTCTATCTCTTTGTCTCTGTCTGTCTGGCAAGCACACGTGCCCTATAGCAAAAACCTCTCCAAAAAAAAAAAGAGTACGAAAATATCACACACAGTATGCAATCTTTGAAAAACTATGTTGTGGGACCAGCAGTTGGCATAATGGCTATGTCACTGGACTACCAGTTAGTCAACTGCAGTCCAAGTCCCAGACCTGGTGGCTTAAACATGCTGGGTGCCGTGTGCGTGCATTCCCAAAATCCTGAGAGGAGAATGGAGGAGAAGGGATTGCAGTGTAGCCATCCCTCCTGGCAGGTGATTTCTTGCTTTCTGTCTCTCTGTTTTGCTCTGTCTTTCTGGCAAGCACACGCTCCGTATAACATAAACCTCTCCAAACAACAAAAAAAAAAGAAATCATAAAATAACAATTTTAAAAGCCAAAACAAAATAATTCATTTTTATACCAAAATAAACTCGTACTTTAACTTCACTTTCCCCAGAAACTTTTACAAGTCCCTTCACACGATTAGAAGGCACTGAGTCAGCCTTTGCAGTGTAGTCATAGCTTACTGGACTGTGGACCTGAAAGCCATTTGCCAACCACAGTTCAAAAACTTGCTCTGGCTGGCTTGCACATATACTGGGTATATGTGGGCATGCTCAGAAACCTGGTGAGCTGGAAGATGGAGGAAGAGGATTGCAGTGGCCGAGTCCTGTGGAGGGTGCTTCTCTCTCTCTCTCTCGTGTGTGCACACATTCTATCATACATTTAAAAAATATAAAATAAAAAGAGCATCATACTTAAGTAGGAGCTTGTCATCATTTGTGTGCATAACAACCCCTTGTCGGAAAGTGGGTCCCCATTATGTGCTTGTTTCTGACCCCACCCCTCCTGTCGTACACTGTATATACTGGAACCAATGGATAGGACGTGGCAACTACCCATTTTTTTCTTACAGTCTGATATTAGATAATTCACATGATCCTACTACTAAAATAAGTATCTTGAGTTACCTTTCTTTAGGTTTTTCATCTCTTTTCCTTTCATAAGTAGCATGGTCATGCCTGGTTGGATCATAACGTATGATGTCCCTAGGTTAAAAAAAAAAAAAAAAAGAGGGAAGAGTCAGAGATAAGGAGATAAGTCAGAATACTACACAAAAATTAATAGCAATTTTTAACTTAACACTAATTTTTGGGCAAGATGAAGTTAAACAATGAAAAAAAATTATGATCTTGTTAAAAATAGTATTTTAAGGGACACAAAAATGGAAAATTATCTGTTGATAATATGGGTATGGTAATATCTTTGACTGGACTAATATACAGTGTACTCAGGCTAGGAAAATTCATCATGCTATAATAATTTACAGAGATTGAATTAAAAAAAAACATTTTAAACGATCTACCTCTGAATCTCCCTGGATCATTATTTTCCTTTAAAAATTACTAAAATATGCACAAATGAAATGATGCTATCTGGAATTTCCATAAAATAGTATACTGGGTAAAACAGAGATCAAAATAAAAGTATAGGAGAGAAAAGTAGCAAGTGCTGGTGACTATAAAGGTGGTAGTGATGTACTGTGGCTTCATTATACAAATCTGTTCTTTGTTTTATTATTATTTTTATATTCAGTCACTAGGTTTCATTTACAGCATACCAAATGAATTTTCCCAGCATGAATGCACTGTATATTAGTGCAGTCAAAGCTATGACCACATACATGATTATCAGCAGCCAACTTTCCATTTCTGTGTTCCTTCGATATCTTGCTTCCTTTCTTTTCCCCTTGATTTCCTCTCTCACCCACCCCTATTTCCCATCCTCCTCCCACACTGTCTCTTACAAGTTTCAATTACACGATTGAAACATTCCATGACAGTTATGTTTATATAGCATCATTTTTACAGGTGATATTTAAACTATTTTCTAGTTAGTTTACTAGTGGACATTACGCTATGCCGTCCAGGTACATAAATACAAAAATAACTTAAGATTAGTTTCTTGAAGCGAATCAATGAGAAAAAGTACATATACTCTTGAGAGTGATACACACATTACACACATATTGCCAATTGCACTCCCAGGAAGTTAGAGATGGCTTAGACTTAGAGTTCATAATGATGTTCATTTCTGGCAAAAAACATAAGATATTAATAGAATGGGACAGAACATAAGCCATACTTAAATTTCTTAGCAGCAGCTGATCCTCTGCTTGTAGCACTGCTTAAGTTGACATGCAGGACGCTCTGCACGACATGCAGGGCCCGCGCTCTCTCTGCAGCCAGCTCGTCCTCCTCGGCAGTTTTCCCTTCATTTACCTCTGAGGGAAAAGGATCCTTAGTCATCTCTTGGCAAACGTAACTGGAGAGACCTCAATCATCAATGTAATAGTTAAAAACACATGCAGAGCTCATCAAGACAGAAAGAAGAAAAGTTCGCCTCATTCAGCTAACCCTCTCATCCCCAAGGTCCCCATGCCGACCCAGAAATCGCATGACCAGCAAACAGAAAGCATTTATATCTTTGCAATTATATAACCAAAATCTGGATTTAATGCCAATTAGTGGCAAGTCTAAAATCTGTCAAGTAAAGACTGACAAATAAGGGGCTGGGAGGTGGCATTGTGGTTAAGGGCCCACACGGCAGGTCACTATTGTGTTCCAGACGTGGCAGCTTGCTTTCTCACTTTCCCTCTCTGGTAAAATTTAAATAAATAAAATAAATTCTTAAAAAAAATTGATAAACAAAGCAAGATAAATCATACAAGTGATTTAAAGTGGTTAATATATACTCTTTGATACTACTAACATCCTAAAAGTGTAATCTAAATGAAATATAAATCCAAAAATGGTGAAGAAAATGAGAGGTAATAATTTTACTAACTGCTGACATGACACATGGGGAGACAGTGGCTTTAGTCTCTAATTCAGTAGTGAGTCTTGGAGGAAGAAAGCCATATGCCCCCCCACACACACGCAAAGCATCACGGAACACTATAAGCTGTAATCCAAAACTACCAGAAACAGTTAAGTATCACACGACAAAGTTTGGATTATAGACATACTAAAAAGGTCTAAGCCTTTGAGACCCTTGCAGCTTACTGCAGGATATAAACTAATAAAAACTAGAATAAAAGACTGATTTAAGCTCTATACAGAGATGCTCCAAATATTTCTAAAGGTTCACAGGAGAGGTTATGTTCAACTAGGTCAAGAAATGTTTTATGAACCAGAGAGTATGAGATAGTAAAGACAAAGCGTTTCCCAGCGGTGGGAAGACAGTGTGCTATCTATCTTAATGTATTGGGTCATCAGAAAAGTGATGGTGCATTTTTGCACAGAAAAACACATTATGACTTTCCTAACAACCTAATAGAAATACAATGAACACATCTACTATTTAAGTAAGAAAATGCAGAGTGTACACTGCCTTCATTTGAAAAATATGTAACTACTAATAGTCAACAATTTTTTACTTCCCAAATCAGCAATTTCTTTTCCTTTTCTACTTTTCTTTTTAAATTTGCTACAGGTGTGTGTGTGCTTGCTGGACAGAAACAAAAAGAGAAAGAGAGAAAGTGAAAAAGTATCCTCTAGTATAGGTCATTGAGGGGGGGATGATCATGTCACAATCCCTTCTCCTCCATTCTCCTCTTGGGATTTTGGGCATACATACACACACTGGTGGCTTTTCAAACCACCAGGTCTGGAATTTGAACCACAGTCACCCCTGGGATCTAGTTGCCTTAACCAATATGCTACCTTGCTGGCCCAGTAATTTTAATTAGCCTAATAATAACTGCCAGGGAAGAATACAATGCTGGAAAAAACTCTAGGTGATCTAGGTTGGCTGTGCTGTTTTACTTGCAGGATAGATAAAACACATCTCAAAAGCTGGAAAAGGGGCCAGCAGGTAGCATGGAGGTTAAGGCATTGGGTCCCACACAGTCAGCTGTGAGAGACGTTAAGTCAACCAGACATTGATTACAAACTGAATTCCATTTCTGGGGTACAGAATTTCTTCATGTGATAAATGAGAAACACCAGCTGATTTCTCAGGGTTTCTTGATTCTGACGTCAGGACTCTTTGGAAAACAACGATTTTACCTTCCTGTTCTTCTTCGCTGTCACTTTCCAGAAACCGAGAGTCCATGCGGAATCTATCATCATTGCCAAAATGTGACTGTAAATCCATGAGCTACACAGACAAAAACATACACAAGCAACAGTCATATTCTTAAGTTTCCTAAAGTGCACTCTCCAAGTGAACCTCCCAGCGCCCTGAAATCCACTGCATTAACACATCTACACAACCTCACTTACCAGGAAGTGCAGGTCACACGAGCCAGTCAGAGGGCCACAGGGGGAGGACTTTCTCCTGAATTAACCTCAACACTGGAACATGGGACAAGGCTTGGGATCGCTCTGTGTTAATTTTAGATTTAAGAACTATGTCAAAAAATAAGGATGCTGGGGTTTGGTGGTGGCGGAATGGTAAAACATAATGCTAGCCAAGTCAGACCCACGTGGGAAGATTGCTGGTTTGCATCCAGAGAGCACCGAGTCTGCAGGGCTCATCAGGCGCCAGGACCTCGACTGTCTGAGGCCAAATTGATGGTATCGAGACCTGCTGGCCATGCTGGATTTCAGCCTCTCCCTCTCCCTCACTCACAGGATAAACTTTAAAACAGAAACAAAGATATGCCATGATTTTTGTTATTGGTAGACTTCACTAACCTTCTGTCCAGCTTTGCCTTCAAACTGAGGTTTAATTTTGAACCTGTTACTGTCATCTTCGGAATCGGAGTCCTCATTATCACTGCTATCAAACAACTTCCCAGATGCTTTACCCAGGGACTCCTGTTACACAGATCAAAAGAAAACAAATGTTGGTAAGTAAAGAAGCAACCAGCATTTTCTTCGTCCTGCTATGTCCTCCCTCACACTGCAAATACCTGGATGCATCTCCCAGGAATGAGTGGGTGGCAAGTCAAATGGACCCTTCTGGTTCAGTGATACTGAATGCCTCCCAGATCATTAATCCAGAGGCTCCTCAATGCAGCCTGGATGTTGAGGGGCAATTACTACACGTAAGAACATTTCCCACAGTGTTTCTCTAAAGCTGATAACACTCTGCAGAGGATGTGGAGAATAGTTTCAGGTGTGAGATAATCTCACAGACCCCTGGGGCCCCGAGAGCCTGGGTCTCATCATGGCTCCCAAAAGGATTTTATGTTGAGACTGGCAGTTGTGTGGAGACCTTTGTATGCAACAGACAGAAATGGATCTGCAAGATGAGATGAATGCCCACAGGGATGTCCTGAAGTTCTTACTTTTACCAGTTTCTCTCCTGGATGGTTCTGCCCTTGAGTAGGTCTCTCCTCTGTTCCACTTTCACTGTCGGAACCAAAGATGATGTGCGTTGGCTTGTCCTCTGGGTGACCATCCTACAGAGGCCATCGAAAGCATTACACCCTAAGGCAGCCCAGTCATAAAGTGAGCATGTCAAAATCACCTCCTCTTCCATGCCAAGTCTCCTCCCCATTCCTTCTCCTTACCTATCGAGTGCCACCATCATCTGCTTATTTCCCCAAGGCAGAAACTCAACTTCTCTTACTCTCCCTACCTAGCGACCACCAAGTCCTATCAATTCAACTTACTTGGTATTTTTTAAATCTATTCCCACTGTAACTGCCTTAGTTCTGACTCTCAACCTCCCAACGGCTCTCCCTGGGTCCTGATCTGACCTATTTTGAGTTGTTATCATAGCCTGAAGACTTCCACACACAGAGGTCAGTAAACTTTTCCTGTAAAGGGCCAGAGAGAAGATTCTTTCAGCTTTACAGGCCACATATGGTCTCTGTTCTGTATGCAAAAACCATTCTTACTTTGAAGACCATACGTAAGTCCACAGGTAGGCCAGCAGGCAGTGTGGAGGTTAAGGCACCTGGATACATATGGCTGGCTGTGAGGTCAATCCTGGACCCAGCAGCTTGAAAACACACTCAGTGCATGTGCGTGTCTGCCCAATACCCAGGGAGAGTGGAGGAGACTGTGGTACGGCCATCCCCCTAGGGGAAGATTTCAGACACCCTCCCTCAACTACTACCCCGCCTCTCTCTGGCAAATGCACACATAACAAAACTAAAATTAGCTCCTTCCTTTCACTCCAGCCTCATTTCTTGCTACCTCACACTCTACTTTTCAGTCACGGTGATCGAAAATCTTCACTTTTGTATAAACTGTTACCTTTTCCTAGAACACTTTTTCCTTCACTCTACTCTTTCCACTCTTACCTCTGCCTGATCAGTTCTTACTTACCCTTTGACATTAGACAACTCAGGCTGAGGAAGCCTCTCACCTCTTTTGGTGTGTCTTCCATGTGCTACAAGGGCACAATGTTCTCCCAGCCCACAGTCCTGCACTGTGTCTGTGCCCACCACATGGACCACCACCTCATCCCGCACATCTAGCACTTACTGTGAAGGTGTGCCTAACAACTGTTAGAAGAACAAACAAAAGGGACCAGCAGTTGGTGTAATGGCTATGTCACTGGACTCCCATATAGTCAACTGCAGTTCAAGTCCCAGACCTTGTGGCTTAAACTCATGCCAGGCACGTGTGTGCACATGCCCAAGATCCCAAGTGGAGAACAGAGAAGGGACTGTGGCATGGCCGTCCCCCCCGAGAGGTGATTTCTCGCTTTCTGTCTCTGTCTGTCTCTGTCTTTCTGGCTTTGCCTTCAAACTGAGGTTTAATTTTGAACCTGTTACTGTCATCTTCGGAATCGGAGTCCTCATTATCACTGCTATCAAACAACTTCCCAGATGCTTTACCCAGGGACTCCTGTTACACAGATCAAAAGAAAACAAATGTTGGTAAGTAAAGAAGCAACCAGCATTTTCTTCGTCCTGCTATGTCCTCCCTCACACTGCAAATACCTGGATGCATCTCCCAGGAATGAGTGGGTGGCAAGTCAAATGGACCCTTCTGGTTCAGTGATACTGAATGCCTCCCAGATCATTAATCCAGAGGCTCCTCAATGCAGCCTGGATGTTGAGGGGCAATTACTACACGTAAGAACATTTCCCACAGTGTTTCTCTAAAGCTGATAACACTCTGCAGAGGATGTGGAGAATAGTTTCAGGTGTGAGATAATCTCACAGACCCCTGGGGCCCCGAGAGCCTGGGTCTCATCATGGCTCCCAAAAGGATTTTATGTTGAGACTGGCAGTTGTGTGGAGACCTTTGTATGCAACAGACAGAAATGGATCTGCAAGATGAGATGAATGCCCACAGGGATGTCCTGAAGTTCTTACTTTTACCAGTTTCTCTCCTGGATGGTTCTGCCCTTGAGTAGGTCTCTCCTCTGTTCCACTTTCACTGTCGGAACCAAAGATGATGTGCGTTGGCTTGTCCTCTGGGTGACCATCCTACAGAGGCCATCGAAAGCATTACACCCTAAGGCAGCCCAGTCATAAAGTGAGCATGTCAAAATCACCTCCTCTTCCATGCCAAGTCTCCTCCCCATTCCTTCTCCTTACCTATCGAGTGCCACCATCATCTGCTTATTTCCCCAAGGCAGAAACTCAACTTCTCTTACTCTCCCTACCTAGCGACCACCAAGTCCTATCAATTCAACTTACTTGGTATTTTTTAAATCTATTCCCACTGTAACTGCCTTAGTTCTGACTCTCAACCTCCCAACGGCTCTCCCTGGGTCCTGATCTGACCTATTTTGAGTTGTTATCATAGCCTGAAGACTTCCACACACAGAGGTCAGTAAACTTTTCCTGTAAAGGGCCAGAGAGAAGATTCTTTCAGCTTTACAGGCCACATATGGTCTCTGTTCTGTATGCAAAAACCATTCTTACTTTGAAGACCATACGTAAGTCCACAGGTAGGCCAGCAGGCAGTGTGGAGGTTAAGGCACCTGGATACATATGGCTGGCTGTGAGGTCAATCCTGGACCCAGCAGCTTGAAAACACACTCAGTGCATGTGCGTGTCTGCCCAATACCCAGGGAGAGTGGAGGAGACTGTGGTACGGCCATCCCCCTAGGGGAAGATTTCAGACACCCTCCCTCAACTACTACCCCGCCTCTCTCTGGCAAATGCACACATAACAAAACTAAAATTAGCTCCTTCCTTTCACTCCAGCCTCATTTCTTGCTACCTCACACTCTACTTTTCAGTCACGGTGATCGAAAATCTTCACTTTTGTATAAACTGTTACCTTTTCCTAGAACACTTTTTCCTTCACTCTACTCTTTCCACTCTTACCTCTGCCTGATCAGTTCTTACTTACCCTTTGACATTAGACAACTCAGGCTGAGGAAGCCTCTCACCTCTTTTGGTGTGTCTTCCATGTGCTACAAGGGCACAATGTTCTCCCAGCCCACAGTCCTGCACTGTGTCTGTGCCCACCACATGGACCACCACCTCATCCCGCACATCTAGCACTTACTGTGAAGGTGTGCCTAACAACTGTTAGAAGAACAAACAAAAGGGACCAGCAGTTGGTGTAATGGCTATGTCACTGGACTCCCATATAGTCAACTGCAGTTCAAGTCCCAGACCTTGTGGCTTAAACTCATGCCAGGCACGTGTGTGCACATGCCCAAGATCCCAAGTGGAGAACAGAGAAGGGACTGTGGCATGGCCGTCCCCCCCGAGAGGTGATTTCTCGCTTTCTGTCTCTGTCTGTCTCTGTCTTTCTGTTGACTGTATGCCCCCTACAGCAAAAAACCTCTTAAAAAAAAAAAAAAAAGGATGAACAAAAGCTCATTTCAGTAAATCTCAGCAAGTCTAAATCACTTGGCAAGTCATTTATATGCAAACTAAGTGACATTAGGATACATTACTTAAATATAGCAGTTATACATTCTAAATAAATTAAAAATGTTTCCAGTAAACAGGAGTTTAATCTTACTTCCTTTAGTGAATACAGTATAAAAGTTGTGTTTTTTATTTTTATTTTTTTTCCTATAGGGTACGTGTGCTTAACAGAAAAAGAGAAGGGGGAAGGTGAGAATCACCCTCCCAAGAGGATGGCCATGCTGTAATACCTTCTCATCCATTCTTCTCTTGGGATTTTGGACATGTGCACACGTGTGCCTGGTGTGATTTTTCAAACTGCCAGGTCTGGGACTTGAGCTGCACAGTTGGCCAGTCCCTTAACTGGCATGCCACCTCCTGGCCTGTGTAATACTTGCTAACTCAAAGAGACAAAGTACAAATCTGGTCAGTGCTCAGAACACAACCGACTTCATAGCTGACAGTTCTTGTTAAGAAGATGGAGATTTACTATTACGAGACAGGTTGAGCGTACTTACCAACTTTGCCAGTGCGTCATGCACCAACTTCTTCTGCACATCCTTTGCTTTCTGCCTGGCTTCCAAGGCTGCCAAACGCTTCTGATTATCTGCAGCATGCTTATCCTGAGCATGTCCATGTGGCAGATCACTGCTTGACAGTGAGAAATCAGTTCTGTTTTCCTGAGTGTCCTTTCTGGAAGAGACCTTTGGTGACTTCTCTAGAGAACTGAAATTGCTTGAATCAGCCCTGTCTTCCTCTGAAGCAGCTTCCCTCTTTGTGGCACTATGCCAACTGTCTTGGTCAAAGCTCATCTTGGGAGTCTCTGCACTGGGACTTAAGGATTTCTTACCTTTTAACAGCAACGTCCTAGAGACAGAATCCTGACTTCCTTTTTCTGAACCACGAGGGTACACTACTTTGTGATCCTGACCCTTAGAAGGGGCCTGTCTTTTCTGAAGCTGGATGTGGTTTAGGCCACTCACTGTCTTAGCATGCTGACATGGAGTCAGTTTGCTTGATAGGATGTTAGCATAGGGGGACTCATTTTCAATTAAAGTACTATTGGGGCCCTCCTGTTTCAGGGAATTCTGATCTGGACTAACATTTACAGAGACACCATTCTCTTTTAAGGATTTCCTCACTGAATCCTCTCCATATAGAGAGCCTACTCCCTTGAAAGCCTGGAATTTTGGCTTTAAGTTGTTTCCCATTGGTTTTGGTTTGCTGTAGGTGTTCTCTTCTTCTAAAAGGGAAGCCAGAATCTCCTCAGGACTAATGCCCTGTTGATCTCTGCGGGGGCCATGAGGAATCCGGGGGCTCTTATAGACGCAATCAGACTTGCAGTGGGTGGTGGTTGCTGGGCCACTGCTCTCAGAATCCTCTTTGGGAACCTCTGGATCATGGCCAGCCAACTGTTCCAAGTCAGCTAGAGTGAGATTCACACGGATACAGTCTTTCATCATGGTGTCATATTCCTCATCTCCCTCAGACTCAGCTAATTCAGATGCAAAATCAGCATCTTCACTGCTTCTGGAGTCAGACGGAGATTTACAATTACGAGGCTTTATTCCATGACCATGGTCTGATTCTGCGTTGTTTCTTTTCGGTACTTCAATACAATGATGAGAAAGCTGACCATTTTCTCTGTTTTTAAAAGATATTTTCTTGTGTATAGATGTTTCCACTTCTGAGAATTCTGTAGCCCTCGTTTGTTCATTTTTTACCTTACTGTTTTTTACTGCAACAATTTCATCTGTGTCTCCAGAATCATACTCACAGTCATTTCCTAGAGCATCACCATCAAGGCGGGAAGCATTAGTTTTGATACCTAGACCAGTTAAAGAACAAAGTCTGTGAGCATCTGATTTGAAATCAGTACTTACAACTTCAAAGGTTTCATTTTCAGAATCTTTTATTGAAGACCACGTAATTCTCTGTAAGGTTTCCTCTTTTGCAATCATTGCTCTTAATTCATCTTCAGAATCAGTATCACGATCGTCATTGTCATCAGACATGCTGCTTCTTTTCCTGTGGGTTTCCAAGCCAGAAGTCTGAAACAGTACATTTTTAAGTTTCTGAGCATCACAACCATGTGCAAGGAGTGCTTTTTTTTTAGAAGGAAGAATGAAATCACAAGGCGTTTTTTCAATCACCCGCTGCCGTGGTAAGTGTGGACTTTCCATTACCCAATTGGACCCTGGACTCCTAGCCAGAGACTCAGGGGGGTGCTCTTTTTTTTGCACTTTTGTTATCTTCCTGGGAGGGTCATGGAAGTCAGAGAACTCTCCTCGCCGTTTCTTGCTCATGGGGTCATTTCCGCCTTCCAATTCCCAAGTGAGGTTGGAGATGGGAGTGGCACTTGTGAGACCCTCCTCTATCTTCTTTATATTATGGCAGTACTTTGAAGGGTCATATTTCATGATGTTATCCAAAGTCAAGGAACAAAATACAAGCAGTGGGTCTTAGGAGAACCTATCAATCTAGTGAAACAAAAATATCGTTTAATCTTGAAGAAGTCACTTATCCCATCCTACCCGCAGTTTCCTATCAAACAAAATGAGGACTTTATTAGGTCACCTTCTATAGTCTAAGGAATTGAGTCATCTGTGGCATTTCCAGTTAAAACCAAACACCAGTATTTGTTGGCAGGCATTGCTTGAACTGTATGTAGATACTCCTCCTGTCTTCTCAATACTGACTAATCCTAGCTCTGACTCTCCCAGTGCTATGATGTCCATTTCACATGGAACTCACTACAACAATGCATTTTGTAGGACTTTATCAGAAAGGTAATGATTCTTTTCTCCTCCTCTATCCATTTCAGAGCATGTGCATGATAAAGAGAGAGATGAATACTTTCAACAGGATCTGGTCACATCATGACACCCTTCTTCCAGTCCCCTAGCCTATTAGACTTTGGGCACATGCATGTCTATCTGCGTGTTTCAGGTTGACATGGCTAGGGATTCAACCTGTGGCTGCCCTGTGGGATATACTTCTCTTAAGCAGTGCATTGCTGCTGTGCCACAGAGATTGCACATTAAGTTAATAATTTATTTTTTCTTTTTGTTTGCTATAGGGCAAATTTATTTTTAGTATTCTGTGCCCTTGTCAGAGAGAAAGAAAAGTAAAGTGAGAATAACTCCCAGAAAGGATGGCCATGCCACAGTCCCTTTTCCTCCATTCTTCCCTTGAGATTCTGGGCATGCATGCACATATACCCAGTATTTTTTTTTTTTCAAGCTACTGAGTCCAGGACTTGAATCATGTGGTCCAGCATGTGGGATCCAGCTTCCTTAACCACACCACCAGCTGGCCCAAAGGCTCTTAATTCTTTACCAGGCCTGATTTGTTACTGACATTGCCCATGAAGATTTTAGCTAATGTCGGTGTGCTGTAAAGGTAATTGGCATTTCCTAAAACACATGAATAGGTATACATAAGTCTGTTTAAACTGAACTCTTATAAAGTCCCTTTCTTCATTTAGTAACCACAGAACACATGTCAGTTACATGTGAGATGGACTAACAAGTGTCTCCTGTCTCCACTGCCCTTCTATATCTTCTGTGATGTCAGTGACTGCTGCTGGAAGGTAGAGGAAGAAATCAGTATTTTGACTTCAGTGCCATGGGCCAGAAGGGCAGAAGTACCTGTGGCCACGCTACGGGGCCCCAGCCCAGGCAGTGGTCTCGGGGGCATGATAGCTGAGCTCTCCAGGTAAGCTTTCTGCTTCTCAAGGTGGCAGTGTTTACTGCAGTGGTTAATCACTGGGCCACTTGACTCTCCACCCTGTACTCTTCAAGCACTTTTTTGTTGTTGTTGTTGTTGCCTTAAGAGCATGTGCACCGTCTCTCAGAGAGACGGTGAGAAGAAAAGTGACAAATCATTCTCCAGGGGGGTGGCCATGCCACAAGCCCTTCTCCTCCATTCTTATCCTGGAATCTTGGGCATGCACGCACATGTGCCAGGCATGCACGCACATGTGCCCAGCGTAAGTTTCAAGCTACCAAGTCTGGGACTTGAACATCAGTTGGACATGTGGGAGTTCAGAGACATAATTGCTATGCCATCTGCTGGTCCTCTCCAGTACTTCTTAAACCAGTTACATGTATTCTGTACCTTTGTTTGAAAAACCTAAGTATCTGATTCTCTGACACACAAAACACATCCACAGCTCAGAAGTCCATGATACCAAGTTTTCAAGGTCTTAGGCAATTTGACTTCACTGAATAGGAATCAGAATTTCTTCATCCTGAGTTCCACAACATTTCTTTACACAACACTCTACCGTCCACGTTTTTTTAATCTATTTTTCTCTCTCCAGAGCCACTACCCATCAACTTTCTCTTAATTCGAAACCTACCTCAATTTTTCTAAAGCTTTCTTTAACCATGGTCTTTGTTTCTTACCCTCATTAGCAATGGCTTTGGGCTCACATAAGAACAAGTATAATAAATAAATGAAATTGCTTCTTTGGCACTCATCATTCATATCAATTGTACAAAACCTAATGAAATTTTGGGACTGGCAGGTGGCATGGTGGTTAAGGGTGCTGGACTTGGGCGCTGGACTTGGGCAACCACGGTTCAAGTCCCGGACCTGGTGGCTTGCTTTCTCTCTCTCTCTCTCGTCAAATTAAAATAAATAAGCAAATAAAATGAATAAAGTTAAATAAAATAATTCTTTATAAAAAAAAAAGCCTAATGAAATTCTCTCATTATTCTCTAGTTGTTTCATATATGTAGGTGCAGATCTTAACTTACTTAGAAATGAAAAACATACAAGCTTAAATAAACAACTGAGGATTTAGTGGTAGAAGCACAGATACTTTAATGTACTAAGTAATAGTTACCCTGAAAGGCCAATCACAAAGGATATTTTACGCTTATGTTGATTTTTAAGGTGAAGAACAGGTAAGACTCTTCCAAATTTACTCACAACCCAGTTCTAAAAGAAAACATAAACAAGAATGTATTTACTATATATATCACAGTGGAAAAGATAATACATTAATATGACTTTAAAAACTTAACTCTCAGGCCAGCGGGTGGCATGATGGTTAAGGTGCTGGGCACTCCCACATGGCTGGCCACAGTGTGAGTCCTGAGCCTGGTATCTTGCTTTCTCACTTTCCTTCTCTCTGTGTCTGTCTTTCTCTGGTCAAATTAAACAAATGAATGAATAAATTAAATAAATAATTATTTTTTAAAAATTCACAGGAGGCTTATGATTCTTACTCAGTTTAGTTTTGTGACAATAGAGAGTTCTCAAAGAGAAAAAGTATCATAGAAAAAAAAAGAAAAAGGAAATTCAGAACAACTATCAGTCCAAAATGTATGACAAAGGATGCTATGCAAAAACATCCATTATTAGAAAGCAAATTAATTGTGGCTGGCAAGTGGTGTGGTGGTTGAGGCACTATACTCCCACATGGCCAACCACCTTACAAGCCCCAGACCCAGTGGCCTGAAAATCATAACAAATAGACAAGTTAATAAATGTTTTTTTTTCCCTCTCTCTCTTTTTTTTTTTTTTTGGAGAGATTTATTTTGCTATAGGGCGCATGTGCTCACCAGAAAGACAGAGAGTGACAGAGAAACAGAAAGCGAGAAATCACCCCAAAGGGGGGATAGCCATGCCGCAATCCCTTCTTCTCTCAGGATCTTGGGCACACATGCACACGTACCCAGCGTGAATTTAAGCCACCAGCTCTGGGACTCAAACCATGGTTGACTACGTGGGGAATCCAGCGACATAGCCATTACACCAACTGCTGGTCCCAACAAATGTCTTTTAAAAAAATGAAAAAATAAAAGCAAATCAAAACCTTCTGTACACCTCACCTATGGTTGGCCCCAATTCCACTCAGCTTTTGATCTCTGTAAAATGGAGAACTAAGCTCACCTAGGAGTTGTAAATGCACCTTGAAAATCACAAAGCCCTTTTTATGATAACTGCTTCAAAGAAAGGGGAATAAACCAACTAATTTTAAACATGAAACTCATGATAATCCAGTCTCAGGTGCCACTTGCTGAGTTGGCTCAGGCTGCCAATGGAGACTTACTTTGTGTCCTGGTACTTCTGTCCCTGGCACAGCTTTCATATGGAAATCCACCCCTCCCATCTTTTCTACTAAGTTGGTATTGCCTGCTGTTGATTTTTCTTTCTTTGCTTTTGCTTCTTTTCTTTCTTGGGCCAATCTGAATCAAAGAAAAAAAAACAAAACAAAGAGTTAAAACAGACAAGCCTGCAAATGGTTATATCCTTTTTCGTGACCCCAAATGAGCATGAGAAATAGCTTTATAGTATTAAAAATCAAAACACTAGTATTACTAGTCAAAATCAATGTCAAGTAATTGAGTCTATTAAATTTTACATGTACATAACCCCTAAGATTCGGCAACTGCACGTTTTGATGTAAGCTCCAGAGAAACATCTGCATGTCTGTAAGAGATGTTCTAAAGGATGATCATCTATGGTCACAAATAAGGTAGAGACAGCCTAAATGTCTACTAGTGGAGAGTGGCCAGCTACATCGTGGTGCAGCCAATCTCTGAAAGAGTACCACCAACAATTGTCACCAAGAGAGAAGGCAACACCTCTATGGACGGTCATGGGGAAAAAGACAAACTAACTACCCATGTATATTTTAAAATATCTACTTACCTGTCTTTCTCTACACACACACACACACACACACACACACAAAATGTACCAGATCATCTTTTTGGTAGGGTTGGGGGAGTGAGAGTTAAAAGTGGATTTCAGCTCTAATTACAATGTTTTAATGTGCTACAAATGTACTAGTAAATTACTTGATAATTTAAATAAATTAATATAAAACCATTTACATGTAAAAATATATTGTTTAAACCCATGTGGACCAATTACCTGTGCAAAAAGCTTTCTTTCGCTAGCTGAATTTGTAGTGTTCCACCTTTCCATTTTGTTTTATTTAAAACAGACATACCTATAAAGTAAAAAATAGTACTCAAGGACATGGCAACATGAAAATATTTTTCAATATGGGCTTTTTCTAATTATTTAATACCAAGAAATATAGACTTATTTACTAAAGAGACACAAAGGAAGCAGCAGAAAAAGTCAATGCGACCCAGAGAGAGGACATCAAGGTCCCCACTTCTTCCTGACCACGGAGCAGAGAGGTCCGTGTACCCTTGCCTTACAGTGTGAACAGAAGATATGAACGAGGTAAACTGTATAAACCATAAAGCAATATTTGCTATTTGCTTATAAAGGAATGGCAGGAACCTTGGCAAATAACTGACACTCATTTACTATTCCATTATTTCTCAGACTCTAACTATCAAATATTAATGTAATGTTTTTAGGAAGAGGACACTTGGATCCTCTAGCACGGTACTTTTATCTGCCACCTATACTAATTACCAGTGCAAAAACCTAAAAATGAATTAACTGCGAGTGCCTGTGTTTGAACTGCAAGGCCCTTGAAGATGATTTTTCTGATAAGTACAAATTTACTATTTGATGAAACCATCCTGTAATGCTCAGAGGAATCACTGTCTTATGTCATTCATCAGATGAACACACTGGAGCTTATAGTGTACGTAACTAGCCACAGATCAGAACAGAGCCAACGTGTTGATAACCACAATGTATTTCCTTGCTGAATAGAATAAAACAATGTTTTGCAAATAAAGTTATAAAAGGCAGTTGACCCTCTTTATTAACATATTCTTTTTACTAACTTTCCAGTATCTTTTGACTTTTTGGCCTCCAAATAACTAGAACGTATTACTTTATCAGTGGCAGTATGGATTATGTCTTCCTTTTTTTATTGAAAGCCACCACTTGGAATTCACATCTCTGAGTCCGCCAACTAGGTACCATGAACAAAGCTCACCCTCCATAATTAAAAAAATTTATGGACAAGAAGTTATCATTAAAACCAAAATTAAATGGTGGCAGACATGTTCAAGGGATACTGTGGGGATTTGATCCATTTATGCACCTGGTGATAGATGAACGTGTGGGGATGGCAACTAGTGGGCACCAGAGTACTTGGAAGGGTAGAACACGAGAAAGTAGTATCACCATGTGAGGAGCCCTGGAACAAGCACAGATAATGCTGTTCAACAGGAAAACCCACGTCCCCTCGTCAATGGACCTGTTCTACTACGATGCAAAACAGATCATGTACATTTTTATAATAAACTTTCTGTTAAGTTAAAAAAACAAAAAGCAAGCCACCATTTGATCTTGCTTTATAACATACCCATAATGGATTTCATGATCTCAAGGACATCATCTCATAAGGTTTTTTCCTTGGAGAGGTTTTTAAAAAAAAAAAAAAGCAAGCCACCATTTGATCTCGCTTTACTAACATACCCATAATGGATTTCATGATCTCAAGGACATCATCTCATAAGGTTTTTTCCTTGGAGAGGTTTTTTTGCTATAGGGCACATGCACTCACCAGACAGAAAGACAGAAAGAAGAAATCACCCCCAGGGGGGTGGCCACGCTGCAATCCCTTCTCCTCCATTCTCCTTTTGGGATCTTGGGTACGCATGCATACGTACCTGGCATGAGTTTAAGCCACCGGGTCTGGGACTCGAACTGTGGTCGAATATGTGGGAGTCCAGCGACACAGCCATTACGCTAACTGCTGGTCCCATAAGGGTGTTTTCTAAAGTTCTCTCTAAATAGTCCTTAATGACGAGAAATAGCAGCTTAAGAAATGAAAAGACCAAAGCCGGAAAATGTACCCTAACAGTCAGCAAGTTATGTGTAAAAGAGAATTTCCATCAAAATGTGGCCCTTTGTCCAGAATATTTGAGAACCTGTTTTTGAGCAAACCTACGAGCAGTGTGCACCATGTGTCTGCCGACAAGGAAGGAGTGAGACCTACATACCATGAGCTGTACATCCTAGAACTCTCCTGATCATGGCTGTCTCTCTGGATGACTTAAATGGCTGCTGAAGTTTAGCTTTACAACCAAAGATATTCCAAGTTACATGGTGACACCAACAGACAAAGAGGAAAGAACACACAACAATCTTACATTTTTTCAAATCTGCTTCTGTTACTCTGATGTTGATATATGCAAAGACTTTCTGTGGGTTTCCTAAAAAGAGAGAAACAAATTTATTTAAGTTCTTACCCAGACAATAATGTAAAATGATTAAGTTTCTAAATTTAAAAAGTGAGTTTGGGGCCATTAGGTGAAACGGTGGGTAAGGCACTGGACTCCCACATGGCTGACTGGTTTGAGTCCTGGTCCTGGTGGCTTGTTTCCCACTTTCCCTCCCTCTCTCTCTGCTTTTCTCTGGTGAATGTATGTGCCCTACAGTGAATTGGAATAATAAATAATAAATAATTATTGAGAAAATAAAAAACAAAACAGTGAGTTCTTAAGGGACCAGAAGATGGCATAATTCTTGCGTCACTGGACTCCCACATAGTCGACTTTAGTACAAGTCTTGGACCTGGTGGCTTAAAACTCACACCAGGCACATGGGCACTGTGCCCAAAATCCCGAGAGGAGAATGGAGCAAGGATTGTGGTGTGGCTATCTTCGGGGGTGATTTCTCACTTTCTGTCTCTTTGTCTAGCACATGTTCCCTATAGCAAAAATCTCTCTTAAAACAAACAAACAAAAAAGTGAGTTCTTGAAAACTTATTCATTCAGAAAGAAATCTTGTTCATTTTTCACTGGATAGAAAGACTGCATTTTTTAAAGTGTAATTACCAAAACATTCCAAAAGAAAATGATTAAGTGTGGGCCAGCAGGTGGCACAGAGGTTAGGGTGACTGGATCCCCCATGGCTAACTGCACGATATGAGACCTGGACCATGCAGCTTGAAAAACATGGTGCATGCACATGTGTCCCCAAAACACCCAGAGAGGAGAAGGGATTATGGCATGTCCACTCCCTCTGAGAGGTTTCTCACTTTTCTGGCAAGTGTATATGCCCAAAGCAAGCTTAAAAAAGGACTAAGTGAAAAATATCAAGTAGTTGGTTACGGAAACATCTTAATTATATGTTAGTGATACTCTACTCAGCAGGACACTTAATTAGTGTTAGAAATTTAGCTCTGAAAGCTGAAAGTCATGTTTCTGAAATCAGGTTATTTTAGCATTTTTCTGATTTCAGAAGCGAATTCTGGTCAAATTCCACTTCTTTACTTCTGTTTTTAAAGTTTTTGTTATAGGGCGCATGTGCTCACTAGAGAGACAGAGACAGAAAGTGAGAAATCACCCGCCTCAGGGGTGATGGCCATGCTACAATCCCTTCTGTTCCATTCTCCTCTCAGGATTTTCGGCATGCATGCACACACATCCAGTGTGAGTTTTAAGCCACTGGGTCCAGGATTCAAACCATGACCATGTCCAGCGATGTAACTGTTAAAACACATTAGTTCCCAAATTCCATCCATATCTTATGCAAGGTTCGAAGGCATCACATGGCAGTCTGTGTTCACGGCTGTCACTCATTTCTAGGCCTGCACTGTTTTGTACAGTAACACTTCACTTAAATTATGGGCTATCTTTCATTACTTGGTGAAAAACTATAAATTTACCTTGGTCATCTTTCCGTGTGATGATCTCCACATCAGAAACTTCTCCAAATCTGCTGAACTGATTTTGTAGGTCTGTTTCAGAAATTGCCTGGCCAAGGCCACCCACAAACAGGCGCTTTGTTTCTCTGTCAGCTTTCATGAAGACTGGTGTATACTCAATGCTTTCTAGTGGGGAAAGTAAATTTCCGAATAGAAGAATTCTTGCCTTCAGCTCTTCTCAATTCTACCAAAACAACTCCTTTCCCTGAATCTTCTGTGCCAAACTGGCTTCCTGGACTTGTGTTTCTCTCCCCAAGTTTCCAAGTTTTACCCCTGGAGATTCTGTCTAGGCCCAACATCCATAACCTCCATGAATGCACACGATCATAGAGAAAGAGGCAGGCGTGGGACCTGCAGATGGCATAGTGGTTACATCACTGGACTCCCACATGGCCAACCGCAGTTGGTGTCCTGGACTCAGTGGCTCAAAATTCATACTAGGCACGTGTGCCTGTGTGCCTAAAATTCCAGAGAATAAAGAAGAGACTGCAATGTGGCCAACCTTCCTGGAGGGTGATTTCTCACTTTCTGTCTCCAGCAAGCCTATGTGCCCTATAGCAAAAATCTCCCTTAAATATAAAAGACAGCAAATATTAAGGCATTCACTTGTATCTATGCAACTCTTAAAAAAAAAAAAAAAACCCGCAGGCATAAGCAGGTGTTTCCCCTCTAAATGACCACCATACTATATAGACTACCTCTTCTCATTTACTTATTCATGATCGCTAAGTATTTTTTTCCTTGACTCGCTCACATTCTGTTATTCACTTTAAAAAACACTGACAGAAATAGGATGTGCCAGGTCCCCACCCTGGAGCTCCTCAGTCCACAAGAAGTCAGCATGTGTTGCAATTTCAGTGTTGGATTAGGATACAAGTGAATGCAAAGTGCTTTACAGGCTAAAGAAAAGGTAGACTGTTGCTTTTTACTAGGACTATGCTGTACAAAGTGGTTTGCACATGTCTCATTTTCAGACAAGCCAGAGAGGGTAAGTCCCTTTACCAAAGCCATACAGAAATTACCGGCGAAGCTGAGCTTCTAATCCAGGTGAAATGTCAAAACCCGAAATTCTTCAGCTACACTAGAAAGATTGCGGGGGTTTGAGGCCCGCCCACCACGTTCTCTTGTTTAGCACCCTACACTTAGCTTCCACTATCCTACCCTTCTCGGGAGCCCAGACTCCTGAGACCTCAGAATCACGCTCCAAGGCCTGGCACGCATTCCGGGTGAGCGCCCGTGTCTCCCCTTGCTTGGCGACCTCCGCCCTCCCCGTGCCCACCGCAGCCGCCTACCTCCGAGGGGACGCAGCGGCGAGAGCGGAGAAGCTAGGCTGCATCCCCCCCTGTCCCTCTCCAAGCCCCACCACGTCGTCTCGCAGAGCCAGCGCGCCCGGTCCCCACTGCCACTCACGGGTCCGCACGTGCGCATTCTCTCCCTCCCTCCTAGAAGTCAGTCACGGCCTCTGACGTTTCGCGAGCGCACTTGGTTCCGGAGAGCACTTCGTTCCGTGTGGGTTCTAAGGCTACCGCGGCGTCCCCGCCACCTCTCCCTACACATCGGCAAGTGAACCCAGCCGATGCCGCCTCGTTTCCGCCGCGGAGCACCCAGGCAGCCAAACCAGCGGAAGCGGCAGAGCGGAGGAGACGCCGCTGTCTCCGCCACGTGACGTCGAGACGGCCTCCGGAGTGACGTGCGCGTTCGGGAGCTTCCAAGGCGCCTGGCGGGGGTGGGCGGCTGGCGCGGGACAGGTCGAGACCAAGCCACTTTCCAGAACGGGCGGGCCGCAGGGCCTGCGCGGTTCATCCGGGCCTCGTGCACGCCCTCCCCGAGAGGCCTCTCGCGAAGGCCCCCGGGGCGGGGCGCTGAGGCCTCTGGCTCCCCCCGGGTTCCGCGATGGTTCGCGCTGGGCGCGCGCGCGAGGCTTGAAGACCGGCGAGGCGCGGGTGGTGAGGGCGCATTGGCCGAGCGGTCGGCGAGGTGTGCCATGGCCGCGCTGCGCGCCGAGCTGCGCTCCCTGCGAGCAGAGGTGGCGGCCCTGCGGCGGACCTGCCGGGAGTCGCCGGCGCCCGGGGAGGAGGCCGCCCTAATGCCGTAGGTGCCCAGCGCGCCCGGGCCGGCCGGGCGAAGGGCTGACCCGCTCGGCAGCCCTGGCTCTGCAAACAGCCAGACCCAGCGAGGGCTGGACGCCCCGCAGTGAGGGCCCGGGTCCGAGCCGCGTGCGCGGCCCTAGACTGGGCGGCCATCGAGAAGCCTTGCTCCTCTCCGCCTTTGCTGGGAGCGGCAGCTAGTCGAGATTTAATGACTGGCTTCATGACGGCTGGTTTAAGGGCCACCTAACCTTGGCGAGGGATGCCGACTTGGCGTTTATGATGACAGTTTGTTTTGGAAAAAAGAGCTTGGCTCGGGGCCGGCAGGTGGCGTGGTGGTTAAGGATACTGGACACCCATAGTGGACCACGGTTCGAGTCCTAGACCTGGTGGTGGCTTTGGCGTGGTGGTTAAGGGTGCTGGACTCCCACAGTGGACTGCGGTTCGAGTCCTGGACCTGGTGGCTTGTGTCTCTCTTTCTCTCTGATCAAATTAGAATAAAGTTAAAGTAAGTAATTGTTTTCAAAACAATAAGAAAAAAAGCTTGGATATAAAGAAAAAGTTATCCATAGCCTGTGGGAGCACGTGGTGGTCTTTGGTGTAGGCCTTCTCTTGTTAACCCTGGTTTAAAGTGAAAGAAGCAGGCTCAGATTACATCCTAGAGAAAAGTTTCAGTGCTGGGTCAGAACTCACGAATCCAACCCCAAACTCCAGACAATGAAGGAAAGGGAGACAAAAGGTCTGGCCTTGGTCGTGACTGACATGCATGCAGAGTGACATTGTCCTGAGCGACTGGACAAGAGCAGAATGTGGGAAGGAGGAGTAAGTGGCATGCTGGTCAAGTGCTGGGCCCAGCCTGGTTGACTGCAAGGTTTGAATTCCCCACCAGGCCCAGCGGCCTGAAAACCGACTTGGAGTGGGTGCCTGTGGAGGGTGAGATGGAGGAGAGGGCATTGGAGGCTATCCCTGGCAGAGGTGTTTCCTTTCCTCTGTCTCTGGTGAAAGTACGGAAAACCGTGGCCAGGGCATGCTCACTCTTCTATGAGTGAGGGCAAATGTGTCAAAGACCTGCCACACCAGGTGCTTCCTTTACAGTGGGAGCACAGCACACCTGGAAGTTGGTTAGCTGTAGGACTTCAGCCCTACCCCGACCCACTTGGCCAGAATCTGTATTTTGACAAGACCAACCTGTGCCCCACTGCTCCAGCCTTGTGCTCTCTGGATGCACTTTCAAGTTTGGGAAGCAGTGTATCATACTGTGGGGAAAATTGTTCCTTTACTGGCCACAAGGTGTCACCATTGGATTGGACTGGGTGCTGAGTCTGACTCCTTAGTGATCAGATTGGAAACTCCGAGTCCAGAGGGGGAGACCTTAAATGCTAGTCCGAGGTATTTGGATTTTATGTGAGGTTTTTTTTCACTATTGTAGAGGGCGAAGATTGGGACCTGTGTACCAAGCTTTTTTTTTTTTTTTAAGTTAATTTTGTTCTTCAATGAGCAAGAAAGACAGGGTTTTGCCATATCGTGTTGCGCCTGGCATGTTGGCTCCCCCGGGGACCCAGCTGTGGTGTCGTGAGTGGTGGAGACTGTGGCACAATGCTGGAGCCATGTGGAAAGGTCCCAGGTTAGGATCCCAGTTTTTAAGTGGCTTTAAATGGTTGGAAGGGTTGGAGGTAGGAAAATCGGAACTGAATGATTCAGCCATGTCCATGGGTCTGCACTCTGGAGCCAAACTGCCTGATCCCAAATCTAGGCTACGTGATCTTGTTTAAATGGCATTTCCTTTCTATATTTCAGTTTCCTCCTTGATAAGTTCTTGGGTTGTTGTGAGGCTGAGTTTTCATTTATAGGTTGCTGTGATGGTTTGATGTTTACTTAGAACTCACAGGAACTTATTTATGTAGGAAGATTGCCTCTGTTCTTTTTTACCTGATTTTCTGTGATAAAAATAATTTTTTTTGGCCTAAGTCCCTGATGGCAAATGCAAAAAATGGTGTAGTGGTCTTTGGATGATACAGAAGATTGTTATATTAGTGTTTTAAATTAGGATTAAAACAAAACTTTTAAAAGTGAACATTTTATACAAGTTTTGGATCCCCAGACTGTGGAGTTCAGTTATTCCCTGTAGACACAGACACAGAATAAGTTCATAAGAACATTGGATAATTATCAGAATTATAATAGAAATATAGGAGGAAAGGAAGGTATGTAGGAAGCAGGAAGGATGACAGTAGGTCCACATGTGAGGCAGGTGAAGGAGGAAGGAAAACTTTAATTAATTTTGGAGGAATTTTTGCTATAGGGCCTGTGTACTGGAGAGACAGAAATGTATAGAAAGTGAGAAATCACCCGCCGGGGGTATGGCCATGCCACAATCCCTTCTCTGTTCTTCTCTTGGGATTTTGGGCACACATGCACATGCACCCAGTGTGAGTTTTGAGCCACTGGGTCCTGGTACTTGAACCATAGTCAACTGCATGGGAGTCCAGTGACATAACCATTATGCCATCTGCTGGTCCCCAAATCTTTATTAATATTTTAAATTTTGCTATAGGGCATGTGCGCTCACCAGAGAGAGAGGGAGAGTGAGAAAGCAAGCTATTAGTTCAAACCAAGGTCAGCCATGTAGGAGTCCAGCACCTTAACCACCACACCACCTGCTGGCTCCACCAAGAAAAAACATCAAGACAAGGAACCTGAAACAATCGATGGAAAGATTTTATCATTACCAAAAGTAGGAAAATGTGGGGGAAATGCTGATTCAAGATAAAAACCCTCTGTGGGCTGCCAGCTACACCCATCTTGCGTGAAGAGATTCGTGGTTGGAGGTTTGCTTTTGGAGCTGCTGGCTGCTGGCATAGAGGAGCTAAGTCTGATCACCAGCATTTCTTTGTAATGAAAAGAAACATGTTTAGGACTGCAGAGGCAAGAGTGTGAAGGTTTTCCTCCTCTTATGGAGATAAGAAGCAGAGACAGTGGAGAACTCGAGATGATAAATGAAGATCAGGATAACCTGTGCCCCAGAACCCTAGGAAGGGAGGTTTTAAGATGAAAGGAGAAATCAACAGTATAGGACCTAGCAGAGAGTTTAAGGGAAATAAAGAACGAGGAGAAGCAAAATGCCATTTATTGCAATTATTAACTATAAGTTAATTTTTTTCCCAAGGAAAACAAAGTGTCTGGTTATAGTAGTATTTAGAGAGATTATTCTATTACTATTTCTTTGGAATTTTTACCTCCTGTATTCTTAGATATCCTGAGAAATCTCTTCCTTAGTATAAATTGTTCTATGGTATTTTGTTATTTTAGAAATTATAATTAACTATTGATTGTGTTTTTTAATTCCAAGATATCTTCTAACCTTTTTCTTTGTTCATAATAGAATGCATGAATGTGCACATGCCAAAGGGAGAGAGAGAGAAGCAACCTCCACAGGGTCTGGTCACGCCATAATCCCCTTCCTCCAATCTTCAGGGTGGTCAGATTTGGGGCCCTGAGCACTTGTCCAGTGTGTTTCAGTCGTTCTGGGTCTGGGATTTCAACTGTGGTTGCCTTATGGCTTCCAGCACTACAGCTGGCCTGCTGACAATTGTGCCACTGAGGTTGGGCAAAGACATCTTTTAAAATAATATGAAGGGCCAGATGGTGGAGTTGCACTAACACAACTGGACCCACTTGGGAGGGTCTTTGGTTCAGGTCCCGAGTCCTTCCTGTGCATACTGGGCATGTACGTGCTGGCTATGGGTGGATTACCATGTGAAGATTCTGTTGGGGGTGCTTACTGCTCTTCTCTTTCTCTTTCTCTACCTCTCTCTCATGGAAGAACTAAATAAATAAACTGTAAAAATAGTAATAATTTGAGATGTCATTGAAAATCAGACATTTAGGTTGGAAATTCCTGAGTTAGAACTGATATTTTAGTTTCACAAAGTACTCCTATTTTAATTTAATAGTGTTTCTAATATGTAGAGGTAAGGTAGTATAATCTGGTTATTTTTTTTCCATTGAAATTTTAAATTACAGTGTTAGTAGCCACATTGATTTTGAAAAAGTAAGAAAGCAAGCTACCGGGACTTGAACTGCGGTTAGCCATGTGGGAGTCCAGCGCCCTTAACCACCAGGCTACCTACCGACCCAATTTTTATGTAGTTTTAACAGGAAGAGTAAGAAGAACAAAATGAGAATGATTTGAGGAACATTGAGGGAACTGAGTGAAACACTTGGTAGTAATTGGAGTAATTGTTTCTGATGTTTGCTTTTTAGAAAATCCTTTCAAGAACTATACCACTCAAAGACTGGAGGATGGGAGTCTTCAGAAGATCTGAGAAGTCAGCTTGGACATTTAGAATCAGAACTTTCATTTCTAAGTACACTGACTGGTATCAATATAAGAAACTACTCTAAGAAGACAGAGGACCTAACGAGCACTGAGATGACAGATAAGAGTAAGCATTATTTTTAATCTAGAAGAGGTGTTGAAGCTTTCCTTAGTATGTGTAGAAAACTAGTTGAATTAAAATTCTACAGGGTGGGGCCGGCAGGTGGTGAAGTGGACAACTATGGTTCAAGTCCTGGATCTGGTGGCTTCTTTTCTCACTTTCCCTCTCTCTCTGTCTCTTTCTCCCTGGTCAAAACTAAAAAATGATGATGAATAAAATAAAATTAAATTAAATTAAAAATATATAAATAAATAGATAATATTCTACAGGCTGGGGGCCAGCAGTTGGCATGGTGGTTAAGTTGCTGGACTCCAACGTGGCCATCCACAGTTTGAGCTCCAGAGTCAGTGACTTGAAAATCATGCTGGGTGTGTGTGCACGTGTACCCAAAATCCTGAGAGGAGAATGGAGAAGGGGATGGGGCATGGCCATACCCCAGGCAGGGGGTGCATTCTCACTTTCTCTCTCATCTCTCTCTCGTGCATGTGCTATGCCTTATGACAAAGAACTATGAATGAATGAATGAATGAAAGACATTCTATTGGCTAGGTCAGCCAGTGGCTTGATGGTTAGGGTGACTGGACCCCACATGGATGACTACACAGTTTGAGTCCCAGACCTGGGGGTGTGATTTGAAAAATGCTTGCCACCTGTATGAACATGCCCAAAATCCCAAAAGGGGAAATGGAAGAGAAGGGATTGGAGTGTGGGTGTATCCCATATGGGGGTGCTTTCTCATTTTTCCTTCTCTCTCTCTGTCTGTGATGAGTACACCTCTTCATAGGGTAACTGCTGGAAAACAAGATTGTAGAAATCCTGTTTAGTTAGGTGACTTGAACATCACAGTGAGTATAATACTCTTAAAAGCTGCCTAAGATTAATAGAGAACAGGCACAACGTTTGTCATTAATCACCTTAATCAAGTAGCCGTGATGGATAGTTATGAGAATAGCACCACCACTAATTTATAATTCTTAGTTGCTCATTACCGACAATGAAAGCTGCTTCATTTACAGTGCTCTATTCATAACCATGAAGCCCACTGGCCAAGATAAATGTCTTAGCAGCTGCATCTTTTGCCAGAAGGAAGGTTTCTGGTCTCAGTGACTAAGTTTTATTGCCAAAGATCTGTGAGGCACTGACAGGTAAGGGAAGAGAATGAGTCTGTGCACCTGGATGTCAGGAACTTTGACTGGACAAGTATAGCATTCTTAAAACTGAAAAAATCATTTTGGATACACTTCCTTACTTTTCCACTGAAATGACTCTCAGGAAAGGAAAGAGGCAGAGGAACCGCAGAGGGATTTGGGCAACTTACTGCAGGGGGCTTTTCCAGTGTGAATGAAAGTGCAGTGGTGAAATCTAGAGACGTAAACTGCTGGGAAGGAAGAGCTGGAATACAGAGTGGGGAGGCCAGTGTAAGGCTTAATAGCATAAAGGTCTAGACGTAAACATTAAGTAGAGTCTTAAAGCTACTGTGGCCAGAATGGGAAATTTCAGACAGGTCTATCATGAGAAAGGAAACACTTCTCTTTTTTTTATAAGTAGTATGTGCTGATTTTAGAAATATCTGAAAAATATAAAAATGTTGAAGAAGAGATACATACAGGTGCCTGCCCATCAGACACCCGCTCTAGCTAGACTGGCATTCAAGTCTTGTTTCCCCATACCTCGTGTCTCTATGTCCGTTCTTGGACATCAGGCAGACTTGGTTATTTCCGCCAACAATTTACTTGGGGATTCATCATGGGACTTGGGCTTCCTCACAAAATGGTGGACGGATTCCAAAGATTGATGATCTTAC